TAACGAACTCTTCACATCCGACCTGGCAGATCCAATGAGATCAGTTAAACAAATGGCGTTTGGAAAGATCTTGCATCAAGGCTGTATCTGATAACGCCTCAGAGTAAATCAATGGATGCCCGGCATGTCAGTGTATGTGTTGTCCAAGGCCATATGAAACTCACTTACTCACTCACTCACGTAGGAACGCACACACGGAATATACCACTCAGGTACTCACTCATCCTCACACGCGGACATATTCATCACTTACAAACACTCACCCCCAAAAACCCCACCTCCTCCCTTCCTCACTCACTCACCAACTCATCAACTCACTCACTCACTCACTCACTCACAAGAATACGAAACTTTACAGATGTTTCCGTTGTCAGTATCAGAATCAAACCGAAACAGCACGTTTCAGTATCCCATGTGTTTGTCATTTCAGCCAAATGTGATGTCAAATGCAAACAAACCAACGGCGTGAGTAACGGCAGACGCCAGTGTATCCCCGACCCCACGTCTGACAGAAAATCAATCGTCCCCGACCCAACTTAATGCCTGGATGAACAACGTAAGTTCCTGACGGTGAACAAAATGAATTCCATTCCCCATATATTGGATACTATGTCAAACGACGTAATTAATCTCATCGTTTGGACGTAGGGATGGTAAATCACGCGGACGTAACGTCAGCATAACAAATTGTCCACCGTAGAAACTGCAGAAGGAAAGTGTATATGATTGTGTGCCCCGCCAAGAACACACCGCCATTAATCACATAAACGCAAAAGTGGTTTACTTTACGTTTTAGATAAATAATTAAACTGACGTTCAGAAGAAAGTACACAGTCACCTGATTCTTTGGTAAAATATTTTCTTTAAAACAGCATTAATATTTTAAAAAGTGTTTTGATTCTGCCTTGTCACAAATATTGTGTAAGTGTTTCCAAAACACCAGATAGTGTACCCAATTACAACATTGCTAGCGAAATATTATGGTTTTAATGGAAATAGTCCCAAACAGGTGTGTACTTTCTTATGAACGTCAGTATATTTGAGTAGGTTACTTTGACTTTACGCCGCTTTTAGCATCATTCCAGCAATATCACGGCGGGGAACACCAGGAATGTGCTTCACAAATTGTACCAATCTTGGGAATCGAACCCGGGTCGGCGTCCTCATGAATAATGAACAGATCATAATATATTCTTCAGATTTGACAAGTCCTTGTCACTGACCCATGATTATTGTGGCACACATGAAAACTTCGAATGTCAGGGTGACGACAATCTGTCGTCAATATCTTCTATGGCCCCCATGAGAGTCCAGAACTGCCTGGCACCATTGAACCAATCAGATTAGGAATTGTGGCCAGGGAAATGTTCGCCCAAACTTCTCTACAGAGCTTGTGATGACTGTTGACGGTTCTGTAACTGTTGCTGACGCCATCACAGGCGTTGATCAAGAGCATCCCATAAATGTTCGAGGGGGTTCAGATCTGGAGACTTTGAGGACCATGGCAGTACCAGAGATCACAGAATGAGACCGTATGGTCACTGGTAATTGGATGACCCCACGGGCGGGCCGGGGCGGGGCGGAGTGGAGTGGGTATAATATTCCACATCTATCACAAGGGGCTGTGGGATAGCCTAGTGGTTAAAGCGTCCGCTCGTCACTCCGAGGACCAGGGTTCGCTTCCCCACATGGATACAATGTGTATCCCATTTCTGGTGTCCCCCGCCGCGACTAATATTGCTAAAAGCGCTGTAAAACCATACTCACTCACTCCACAGCTATCACAGCATCGGCACCTAAGAAATGGCTTTCACACTTTGTACCCTGGTGGGGAATCGAACCCTGGTCTTAGGTGTGACCAGGGAACGCTTTATCCACTACCCCGCGTGAGAGGAACTAAAGCTGCCCCGAGCGACGTTATTATAAGTAGTGGTGCACCGGTATTGGATGCTTTAAGTGGAATCTTACGTATTAGGTTTGCATACATACATGTATATCTTTTCTTGTGCACTGGACCGCCTCCGTGGTGTAGTGGTTAGAGCGTCCGCCCGGAGTGTGGAAGGTCGCGGGTTAAAATATGGTACTTGTTGGTCCCTGCCTGGCGCTCGGCATTAATGGGTACAACAAGGACTGGTCGGCTCGGAGTCAGTATAATGTGTCTGAGTGGGGTATTCCTGCTTCACTGCGGCATGGTATCTCAGTGGCCTAGCACTATAAAACCAGCTTCAGTCTGGGCTTGTACAAACAGCCGCACATACACATACACACGCATGCACGTCGTCATATGAGGGAAATATTCTCAAGCACGACGTTAAACCCAATTCCACCACCACCACTCTTGTGCACTGTTCCCACCAAAAGATGAGGTTGAGGAAGATTTTACTTGGGCTTCATACACTATAACCTTTTTGTGAATTATCCACCGACCAGTATATATACTGATCACACTTTGCTAAGGATCAAATCATGGATTCAACAGAAAACTATGATGTGTGGTCAAATTGGATTTAAATATGTAAACTTATTGTAAGCATGGATCCTAGGTTTCAGTGTGTCATTTCATCTTGTGGAACCCATACCTGCATCTGACAGGTGTTGTGTACTTGACGATTTGCAAAATGGTTGATTGGTGCCATAAAAAAAACATTTTTATGGTTACTCATGTATTAAGTGCATAAGGTTAGATTAAAGTGACTGTTTGCCTAAAGAGGGGTTACCTACCATATTATTATTTATCCAGTTTGTAATGGATACAATTTCAAATGATGAATCTACGTTTAAATAAATCCTTAGCAAAGTGTGAGTGGTATATACTACTCATCAAACGCTAAGACTCACTGGATTCAATGTAGAGACTAACTTATGTCAACTGTTCCAAACTAGATTTTGCTAAATATTCCACAATGTTTAAAGGTGCTGTTTACACATGAACTGATGTATTGTAAAACATATTCGTAACGTTGGAAAGATTATTGTAATGAGTTCAATAAATGATGAAACTCAGTGACAATTGGCGAATTCTTAACACAATTTTACACCAAAACGCAGCTGTTCACATGCACGATATATATCCTATGTGACAAATCGGTACATTGTGTTTCTTCTCTATTATAATCCTCGATTTTGTTTTGTTTGTTTGTTTGTTGTTTAACGCCGCACTCAACAATTTTCCAGCTATATGGCGGCGGTCTGTAAATAATCAAGTCTGGACCAGACAATCCAGTGATCAACAGCATGAGCATCGTTCTACGCAATTGGGAACCGATGACATGTGTCAACCAAGTCAGCAAGCCTGACCACCCGATCCCGTTAGTCACCTCTTACGACAAGCATGGGTTACTGAAGACAGTCAGTATAATCCAGTGATCAACATCATGAGCATCGCTGTACGCAATTCTTTGATTTCGTAATATCCGTAGTTTCCTGCATGTCAGTTATATCTCTCGATTATCTTTCGGATTGGCCAAGGATATCTAATTTTATCACAATACACAAGGATATATAACTTTGTACAATGGAAGTCAGGTTTCGTGTTATGACACGTCAGTGATGACCCAACATTCATAAATACCACTCGGTTAACAGGGACGTATTACTCTTTCACAACAGATAAATTATTAATGTCAAGTTCTCACCACACTTTAAATTGTGTCCGTGTATAAGTTTACACGAATATAAATGTACTTGAAAACCATAAGGAAGAAATATTGAGAAAACTGTCACTTTAATTTTTTAGGATCTCTGGTTCACATCAAAGTAACTTTATTCTTGGAAACAATATGCTAGCTGATAAATCTTTGTGCTAATATGCCAAAATGGTACATAAAAACCTAAACCAAACATCACGTTGTACTATTAAAGTAAACAAAATACGATGTGAACTCCAAGTCGTACAACAGACGGACTGTTGTTCCCAGTTCTATTTCTATTGTTCAGGAACAGGATAAAGCGGTTGAAGTTTTTTTTCAGAAATAAAACATTTCTAACATTAAATACAAAGCCTGAAGCCATATGGAAACCTGAAAAGCCCTGGCGTCATAAAGCGCCATGTTCACTGAGAGAACACAATCTGGGGTTTAAGATTTTCAGATCACTGATAACACACTCTCATCGTGATAAGTGTAAACACAATAGCGTCAGTGAGTTGGGCTTTACGCCGCCTTTAGCAATATTAGCCTTTAGCAATATTACAGCAATATCACGGTTCTCATGGTTGTCTCGGTTCCCAATTGCGCAGATCGATGCTCATGCTGTTGATCACTGGATTCTCTGGTCCAGACTCGATTATTTACAGGCCGCCGCCATATAGCTGGAATATTGTTGAGTGCGGCGTTAAAACTTAATTCACTCATTCATGGTTGTCATTGCATGCGGAGACCCGTACTTTCAGGAATCTTTTCGTGGTCTGTTACAATTAAAAGTCAAGTTCAGTCATAGTGTGATATCGCATATAAGTATCGTACATAAACCTGGCCCAAGCTTTATTTGAAACCTGGTGATTCTTAGTAGGACTGCAATGAATATTCTATGTTTGATCAACAGTAACGAACACGAGTATGTATTCATGAATACTTTATGATAAATACCAAGAAATTAAAATAATAAAAGTCGTGTAATTGCTTCAGTTGAAACATTTAAATGATATTTCCTATAAAGCAAAAACGCAACACATTGTGAACAATGCTGCTTATAGCAGTGTCGTAATGGGCCTAAGCAAAATAACACACGTTACGCTCCATTTCGCGTGTCTCACTTAGATGAACGACATGCTACCCAAGCAAAAACACTCACTGAAAGATTTTCCTAAATATTCGATATTAGTGAACAAAAAATACTTTGAATTCATGAAGGGATACGGTTTGATTCATCGAATATCCGCTGGTCACGCCGAAGACCCGGATTCGATTCCCCACATGTGTATGGTGTGTTCTTGGCGAATGTTACGATTCACACACAGGTCATGAAGAGAAGGACTTAGGATATCCCAACAACCGGGAAGTATGACTGTATATGCGCGCACTTTACACAGACAGACACGGACATGAAACATCGCCCTGCATGACACAGTTCACAAATTACTGGTTCTCGACGGCGGCAGACATGTTCCGTCTCATCTTCATAGTTCTCCTTGCTGCAGAGATCTACAAAGATGCAGGTCAGTGAACAGAGTGAAGTATACTGACGTTCATAAGAAAGTACACACCTGGTGTTTTGGGACTATCTCCATTAAAACCATAAATATTTCGCTAGCAATGTTGTAATTGGGTACAATATCTGGTGTTTTGGAAACACTTGCACAATATTTGTGACAAGGCAGAATCAAAACACTTTTTAAAATATTAATGGTGTTTTAAAGAAAACATTTTACCAAAGAATCAGGTGACTGTGTACTTTCTTCTGAACGTCAGTTTATTTGAATTGGAGCGTCTGTCATTTTATTAAAAAATAATACGTTGTCTGAGAAAATGCAGGAAATCAATAGTTGAAACGTGTTTAAAAAATACAAACTTAGTAATAATTGTTTCTATACAAAATTTAGGATCAAAGTTTAAATTTTTGAAAAAGCTATCTTTTTTCACTAATCTGGATAAAAAATATGAAGTTCGCTTAAATAAATACCGATCCAGAATAAAAAGACAGAATTTCGTATGCATTCCTTGGTTGCGTTTTGGCACAGGGGGTAGCAAATATCCATTTCTGTGAGTAAAGCGAAATACATTTAAAAGTGAGTGAATACTGTTTTACGCCACAATCAGCATTACAGACATATCACAGCAGTCTGTAAACAGAATTAAAATATATCCGTGAATCGTTGCCTCACGTGACCAGCGAAAACATGGTCAGGAAATATGATTCACAATAATTTCTAGAGAAGAGCGTTTTATGGACCACTGATTCATTAATGTTATTGTGCTAATGAACTGTACTTTGTGACAGAGAGGCACTTCCTCATGGTGACAATTTTCATAAATGAATACGATTATGAGAAATGAAACTAACATTTACTTTAATATCATGTAATGGTACGCCAACACTGGGTCATAATACCCGTGAAGATCCTGGATAGAATTGGTGTTTAGCAACCCATGCTTGTCGTAAGAGGCGACTAACGGGATCGGGTGGTCATTTCTTCGTATCCCAATTGAGTAGATCAATGTTCATGATGTTGATCACTGGATTATCTGGTCCAGACCTGATTATTTGCAGACCGCCGCCGTACAGCTGCAATATTGCTGAGTGTGGCGTTAAACAACAAACAAACAAATGTTTGGGATTACACTTTCTCAATAAAGTATGTATTTTAGTATGTTATTGGGTTGGCTGCATCCGGTTTTAGGATCCATCATCTCAGAGTGAGCATAATCACCAGCACACAGAGTCAGCGATCTAACCCACTCAGCCACCGACCGTCCACAAAAACGGAAGTCGGACAGGTGGTTGGTCAGTTCACGTAGTCTGTGTACCCTTCTAACAATACCCGTGAAGATCCGGGTTAGAATTGTTCCTCAGCAGTCCATGCTTGTCGTAAGAAGCGACTGACATGTCATCGTATCCCAATTGCGTAGATCGATGCTTATGATGTTGATCACCGGATTGTCTGGTCCAGACTCGATTTTTTACAGACCGCCGCCATATAGCTGGAATGTTGCTGTATGCGGCGTAAAACTAAATTCACTCACTCATTGTGTTAAACAACAACCAACCACCCAACCCTTCTGACAAGTGAAAACTGAACAGCTTAGAATATACAATGCCTTTTAGACAGTGGTCAAATGGAACATGTGTTGTACACATTCTCAGTAGAGCGTTGATTCGAATCCCGGGTGGTACGCAGCCCAAAAACAAACTCTCAAATCTGTACTCAGCTGAGAATGCGTAAATCCAAATATAACATATCTTACATCTGACCACCTTCCAAAAGGCCTCATGCATTCATAACATCAACCATATGACAAAAGGCATTTCATTATATTCTACAAAGCCCTATGTGACGGGACCGCCTCCGTGGTGTAGTGGTTAGAGCGTCCGCCCGGAGAGCGGAAGGTCGCGGGTTCGATCCCCGACCGCGTCATACCAAAAGACGTTAAAATATGGTACTTGTTGGCCCCTGCCTGGCGCTCGGCATTAATGGGTACAACAAGGACTGGTCGGCTCGGAGTCAGTATAATGTGTCTTAGTGGGGTATTCATGCTTCACTGCGGCATGGTATCTCAGTGGGCTAGCACTATAAAACCAGCTTAAGTCTGGGCTTGTACAAGCAGCCACACATACACATACACACGCATGCACGTCGTCATATGAGCGAAATATTCTCAAGCACGACGTAAAACCCAATTTCACCTCACCTCACCCTATGTGACGGTTTCATTGACGATATTCGCTGCATTTCCAGATGGGTCGATTCTACGTAAGATCCAAGACATAGAAGGCCGTGCCATCGATCTTCCATTCCAACATCTCCTAAGATGTAACAGTCCGGTAGAAGTATGCCATCTCCCATTGGATGATAATGGACTCGCCTTTGAGAATGCCGGCGCGTGTTGGAGTCCCGGGTGTCAGCGTCTTTCGTTCTGTCCAAGACAGTCTGATTTCACTGTATCAGATGAGTACACAGAACGGCTGACCTTTAATGGAGACGGGGACGGCTTGTCATCCCACAGGCTGTCTAACATCAGCAAGGCTGACGCAGGAATCTACCAGATGTGTTACAAAACTGGATATCCAGAAACTGCCATGCTGATTGTACAAGGTAAAGCAATGAGTTGTGTGAGCCTAGCGTCCCATAGACAAGCAGAATTCCCAGATTATGAGTTTAATAGTGAGTTTTAGTTTTAGCAATTTCCAGCAATATCACGGAAGGGGACAGTAGAAAACGGGCTTCACACATTGCACCCATGTGGGCAATTGAACCCGGATCTTCCGCGTGTTTAATCACAAGGCTATCCCAGCTACTGGGCTATCCATCCCCTGGGTAACTAGTGACGTATATATATCGAACCAGGGCTTTCACCACGAGCAAACACTTTAACTACTGGACCACCCATCCCCTGGGAAACTAGTGACGTATATCTATCGAACCAGGGCTTTCACCACGAGCAAACACTTTAACTACTGGACCACCCATCCCCTGGGAAACTAGTGACGTATATCTATCGAACCAGGGCTTTCACGACGAGCAAACACTTTAACTACTGGACCACCCATCCCCTGGGAAACTAGTGACGTATATCTATCGAACCAGGGCTTTCACGACGAGCAAACACTTCAACCACTGGACTACCCAATCCCCTGGGAAACAAGTGACGTATATGTATCGAACCAGGGCTTTCACGACGAGCAAACACTTTAACTAATGGACTACCCATCCCCTGGGAAACTAGTGACGTATATGTATCGAACCAGGGCTTTCACGACGAGCAAACACTTTAACTACTGGACTACCCATCCCCTGGGAAACAAGTGACGTATATGTATCGAACCTGGGCTTTCACGACGAGCAAACACTTCAACCACTGGACTACCCAATCCCTGGGGAACAAGTGACGTATATGTATCGAACCAGGGCTTTCACGACGAGCAAACACTTTAACTACTGGACTACCCATCCCCTGGGAAACTAGTGACGTATATCTATCGAACCAGGGCTTTCACGACGAGCAAACACTTTAACTACTGGACTACCCATCCCCTGAGAAACAAGTGACGTATATGTATCGAACCTGGGCTTTCACGACGAGCAAACACTTCAACTACTGGACTACCCATCCCCTGGGAAACTAGTGACGTATATGTATCGAACCAGGGCTTTCACGACGAGCAAACACTTCAACTACTGGACTACCCATCCCCTGGGAAACTAGTGACGTATATGTATCGAACCTGGGCTTTCACGACGAGCAAACACTTTAACTACTGGACTACCCATCCCCTGGGAAACAAGTGACGTATATGTATCGAACCTGGGCTTTCACGACGAGCAAACACTTTAACTACTGGACTACCCATCCCCTGGGAAACTAGTGACGTATATCTATCGAACCAGGGCTTTCACGACGAGCAAACACTTTAACTACTGGACTACCCATCCCCTGGGAAACAAGTGACGTATATGTATCGAACCAGGGCTTTCACGACGAGCAAACACTTCAACTACTGGACTACCCATCCCCTGGGAAACTAGTGACGTATATGTATCGAACCTGGGCTTTCACGACGAGCAAACACTTCAACTAATGGACTACCCATCCCCTGGGAAACTAGTGACGTATATGTATCGAACCAGGGCTTTCACGACGAGCAAACACTTTAACTACTGGACTACCCATCCCCTGGGAAACAAGTGACGTATATGTATCGAACCTGGGCTTTCACGACGAGCAAACACTTCAACCACTGGACTACCCAATCCCTGGGAAACAAGTGACGTATATGTATCGAACCAGGGCTTTCACGACGAGCAAACACTTTAACTACTGGACTACCCATCCCCTGGGAAACAAGTGACGTATATGTATCGAACCTGGGCTTTCACGACGAGCAAACACTTCAACCACTGGACTACCCAATCCCTGGGAAACAAGTGACGTATATGTATCGAACCAGGGCTTTCACGACGAGCAAACACTTTAACTACTGGACTACCCATCCCCTGGGAAACTAGTGACGTATATCTATCGAACCAGGGCTTTCACGACGAGCAAACACTTTAACTACTGGACTACCCATCCCCTGGGAAACTAGTGACGTATATGTATCGAACCTGGGCTTTCACGAAGAGCAAACACTTTAACTACTGGACTACCCATCCCCTGGGAAACAAGTGACGTATATGTATCGAACCTGGGCTTTCACGACGAGCAAACACTTCAACTACTGGACTACCCATCCCCTGGGAAACTAGTGACGTATATCTATCGAACCTGGGCTTTCACGACGAGCAAACACTTCAACTAATGGACTACCCATCCCCTGGGAAACTAGTGACGTATATGTATCGAACCAGGGCTTTCACGACGAGCAAACACTTCAACTACTGGACTACCCATCCCCTGGGAAACTAGTGACGTATATCTATCGAACCAGGGCTTTCACCACGAGCAAACACTTTAACTACTGGACTACCCATCCCCTGGGAAACAAGTGACGTATATCTATCGAACCAGGGCTTTCACGACGAGCAAACACTTTAACCACTGGACTACCAAATCCCTGGGAAACTAGTGACGTATATGTATCGAACCAGGGCTTTCACGACGAGCAAACATTTTAACTACTGGACTACCCATCCCCTGGGAAACAAGTGACGTATATGTATCGAACCTGGGCTTTCACGACGAGCAAACACTTCAACCACTGGACTACCCAATCCCTGGGAAACAAGTGACGTATATGTATCGAACCTGGGCTTTCACGACGAGCAAACACTTTAACTACTGGACTACCCATCCCCTGGGAAACTAGTGACGTATATCTATCGAACCAGGGCTTTCACGACGAGCAAACACTTTAACTACTGGACTACCCATCCCCTGGGAAACAAGTGACGTATATGTATCGAACCAGGGCTTTCATGACGAGCAAACACTTTAACTACTGGACTACCCATCCCCTGGGAAACAAGTGACGTATATGTATCGAACCTGGGCTTTCACGACGAGCAAACACTTCAACCACTGGACCACCCAATCCCTGGGAAACAAGTGACGTATATGTATCGAACCAGGGCTTTCACGACGAGCAAACACTTTAACTACTGGACCACCCATCCCCTGGGAAACAAGTGACGTATATGTATCGAACCTGGGCTTTCACGACGAGCAAACACTTCAACCACTGGACTACCCAATCCCTGGGAAACAAGTGACGTATATGTATCGAACCAGGGCTTTCACGACGAGCAAACACTTTAACTACTGGACTACCCATCCCCTGGGAAACTAGTGACGTATATGTATCGAACCTGGGCTTTCACGACGAGCAAACACTTTAACTACTGGACTACCCATCCCCTGGGAAACTAGTGACGTATATGTATCGAACCTGGGCTTTCACCACGAGCAAACACTTTGACTACTGGACTACCCATTCCCTGTTTAAAAATGACGTATATTTATTTTGACATCGATCTTCGCCTTGTGTAACAGGAATTTCTGCATGTCAACGTCTTAGTTTTAGGAACACGACGTTTCAGAATATATTGTTACTCCTTTATCAGATGAATAAAGAAACTTGGAAACAGATTTCTGAGTGCGGAGTTAAATAACAAACTTTATTAAGCTTAACTGAAACAGGCAGATGTGTATCTCTTCCTGTTCCCGTTGATTATTACAACTATTGTTATTGCTCGATTGTAAGTCTGGTTGACTTTCGATACAGGACCGAAACCGAAAAGACACCGGAGCGACAAATAATAATGCTGACTAAACTTAATACAAATATAATTGTATTAGGGTCAAGTATTGTGGCTAGTGGGGGGTTAAGATGATGAGGTTTTTTATGGAGAAGCATGTGTGATGCGAATGACCCCCAACCCCACCCCACCCCACCCCCACCCAACACAAAACACCTAAAATTTATGTACGAAGTGACGCATCCTGCATGTCATGTACAAAATCATTTAGCTGCCCGCCCCCTTTTTTTTTAAGCTTGTCTTTTAATAATGTTTATGTACAAAATTGTTGACACCCAAAAATACACGTGTACAAAATTGATGGCCTCCACCAGAACAAAATGCGTAATGATTTAGGTGAGGTGAGGTGAAATTGAGTTTAACGTCGTGCTTGAGAATATATTGCTCATATGACGACGTGCAGGCGTGTGTATGACTTAAGCTGGTTTTATAGTGCTAGCTCACTAGGATACCATACTGCAGTGAATCATGCATATCCCACTCAGACACATTATACTGACTCCGATCCGACCAGTCCTTGTTGTACCCATTAATGCCGAGCGCCAGGCAGGGACCAACAAGTACCATATTATAATGTCTTTTGGTATGGCGCGGTCGGGGATCGAACCCGCGACCTTCCGCCTTCCGGGCGGGAGTTCTAACCACTACACCACGGAGGCGGTCGCGTAATGATTTCACTGAAACGGGAAGCGTCAATGAACCATCCGCGTCCGTTATTGGATGTATATAGCGCTCTACGAATACACTGTCTTATTATTACTGTATTATCATATGGACGTGGGGCGATGGGGTAGTCTAGTGGTTACAGCGTTGGCTCGTCGCGCCGAACACCCGGGTTCGAATCCCAATACGGGTACAATGAGTGAAGCCCATTTGGTTGGTTGGTTTGTTGTTTAACGCCGCACTCAGCAATATTCCACCTGTATGGCGGCGGTGTGTAAATAGTCGAGTCTGGACCAGACAATCCAGTGATCAAAAGCATGATGTAAGTTTGTTTGTTTCGGTCTCAGTTGAAGATATGCCGGGTTTAAATCACTACAGTGGGTAGCCTAGTGGTTAAAGCGTTCATTCGTCATGCTGAAGACCCGGGTTCGATTCACCACATGGGTACAATGTGTGAAGCCGATTTCTGGTGTCCCCGGCTGTGATATTGCTGGAATATTGCTAAAAGCGGCGTAAAACCAAACTCAGTCAGTCAGTAATACGGACGTTACAACTCCTGACCAACTTATAAGTGAGCGTTATATTAGTGAGGCGTACATTGAGGACACTAGTGGAGAGTTTCACATCTCTGCGCATGCTCCACTCAGTTCTGTCACCTTTAGGGTTTTAGAAATATCCTTATTTCATGATCATATACTTTCCCTTTGTACCGTAAGTGTATTTTGGTTTGCCACATGGGAAGGTATCCCAAAGGTTTCATGGCAACATAACTTGAAGGTCAAATGCGAACATGATGCCAAGTAGGATCATATTGTAAAGTTAAGATGAGGTCAAATTGTGAAGGTCAAATATGATCGTAATGTGTGAGTGAGTGAGTTAAGTTTTACGCCGCACTCAGCAATATTCCAGCTATATGGCGGCGGTCTGTAAATAATCGAGTCTGGATCAGACAATCCAGTGATCAGCAGCATGAGCATCGATCTGCGCAATTGGTTACCGATGACATGTGTCAACCAAGTCAGCGAGCCTGACCACCCGATCCCGTTAGTCGCCTCTTACGACAAGCATAGTGGCAAGCGCGGGTTGCTGAAGACCTATTCTACCCCGGATCTTCACGATCCGCGTACATTGAGAACACTAGTGGAGAGTTTCACATCTCTGCGCATGCTCCACTCAGTTCTGTCACCTTTAGGATTTTAGAAATATCCTTATTTCATGATCATAAACTTACCCTTTGTATCGTAAGTGTATCTTGGTTTGCCACATGGGAAGATATTGCAAAGGTCTCATGGCAACATAACTTGAAGGTCAAATGTGAATATGATGCCAAGTAGGATCATATTGTAAAGGTAAGATGAGGTCAAATTGTGAAGGTCAAATATGATCATAATGTGAAGGTCACATAGTAACATTATGCAAAGATCACATGGGAACATAATGTGAAGCACGTTCAGTCGCTGTGGTGTTGTGTAAGAACGAATGTCTTTCATTCGGTCTATATTCAATACTATAAGTCTACATACAGACATTCTTCTCGTAACAGATGACATTGTGTGAAGCTTAGCAGGTTCGACATCCTCGCACGCTACACTTATGTTAAGCTCACTGGCGATGTTCGCCACCCATTTAATGCTGGACTCCCTAAAGATCCGGGTTAGAATTGGTCTTCAGCAGTCCCAATTGCGTAGATCGATGCTCACGATGTTGATTGGATTGTCTGATACAGACTCGATTATCTACAGACCGCTCCCATATAGCTGGAATATTGCTGAGTGCGGCGTTAAACAACAACCAATCAGGCTGGAATATTGGCAGGCATATTGCTTGCTGAATGTACCATTAAAAGACCAACCAATCTAAGGCAGCACTTATAACAATGGAACCTTAGAACAGAACTGTCTCGTTTTCACCTTCACAAAAGCAAGTACACTTAACAAAACTATGCAAAGTGCGACAGTGATCACAGTGCTGCGTTGTTTTTGTATTTTTCGCATTTGTCTGGTTTTGTATCGGCAATAACCAGACAATGCCCGTCTTCGATCACAGGGGTTCGTAACGCAAAACCTAGCATCCGGTTCTATGTCGTCACTTCCGGTGACCTTTCCCACAGTGCTTAAAGTGTCACAATGACAACATATAGCTTGGTACGAGTTTTTGCATGACAAGCACTTGTGTCTACGATTTTAATGTACCTTTAACGATGATACGTCTTTCAGAGCAGCCTACGAGGCCGTACATAACCACACCACCTGCCCCGATTCTGTACACAGAGTACACCCTCACCTGTGTAACAAGGTCTCAGTCGCTCCCCGTCAACCATGGACTTCCAATGACGTATTTCTGGGTAAAAAACGGAGAGACTGTCAATCCGGATAAAGGGATCAAGCTGACCGGGCCGAACCTGACAATTACCAACCTAAGCATGATGTATGACGGGAAGGTGTTTCGATGTAGTGTGATGGAGGAAGGGGGTCGCGGGACCGCAGAGAGCCGAGTTTCACCGATATTTATTGAATGTAAGTGTACTCATTCCATTCCCCGTGTGAGTTGTGGTATGAGGTATTCAGAGTTATGCCCCCTTGCCTAACCAAGACAGCAAGTGTGTAAGTTCGAACTCGAACTTCACCACGGCTGTTTTTTTGTCAGCACCTTAAAGTTTTACCAATGTGGTAAATATCTAATACATGTGTTCCTTTCCATACTGTCCTCCGATTTAGCCAACACGCACTGAGACAACTGACATACTTCCACAAGCAGCTTCAATCCGAACTGTCTCCGTGGTGTAGTGGTTAGAGCGTCCGCCCGGAGAGCGGAAGGTCGCGGGTTCGATCCCCGACCGCATCATACCAAAAGACGTTAAAATATGGTACTTGTTGGTCCCTGCCTGGCGCTCGGCATTAATGGGTACATCAAGGACTGGTCGGCTCGGAGTCAGTATAATGTGTCTGGGTGGGGTATTCATGCTTCACTGCGGCATGGTATCTCAGTGGGCTAGCACTATAAAACCAGCTTAAGTCTGGGCTAGTAAAAGCAGTCGCACATACCCGTACACACGCATGCTCGTCGTTATATGAGCGAAATATTCTCAAGCACGACGTTAAACCAAATTCACCTCACCTCACCTCAATCCGAACTGTCTGTCTCAAACCAGTGTCGCTTAGTTTACTCTAAACACTAGACCCGTGAAGATCCCGGTTAGAATTGGTCTTCACCAACCCATTCTTGTCCTGAGAGGCGACTAACGGGATCGGGTAGTCAGGCTCGCGATCGTGGTTGACACATGTCATCGTATCCAAATTGCGTAGAGCGATGCTCATGCTGTTGATCACTGGATTGCCTGGTCCAGACTGCCGCCATATAGCTGGAATATTGCTGGGTGCGGCGTTAAACAACAAAGAAAAACAAACACAAACAGTAAATTTCACATGGTACTTAGAGGGAATTTGCTCATATTTTCAGTTTGAACTCCCTTCTGGAGATTACAAAACTATAGTCCGTTTGTCTCAAAAGCGGACCGATGAATTGCAATCTAACTCGAAAACTAATAAACATAAAATACTCAATGAAACGCTGATCATAATCAAAACACAGTTCACTATTTGTTACGAGGGAGGAGTGCAGAGAAAGGGACAGCCAGGTGTTCGAAAATGGATGGAGACGGCACAGCACAGGTTAATGAATAAATAACTTTGTCTGTGAACGTGCTTCTCGAACACCTGGCTGTCCCTTTCTCTGCACTCCTCCCTCGTAACAAACAGTGAACTATGTCAATATTTTAATGATAGTTTTTTAAACAACTTTATTATTTTTAGGACAAAAATTCTGCAAAAACCTCACAGAGTGGGTATGATGTTTTGATTATGATCAGCGTTTCATTGAGTATGTTATGTTTATTAGTTTTCGAGTTAGATTGCAATTCATCGGTCCGCTTTTGAGCCAAACGGACTATAAACTGACGTGCAAAAGAAAGTATACACCCATGTTTCATAGTGGCTAAGAATAAAAGAAATGCTAAAAGTATCTTGGACCTTACGATTGTACTAAACGGACTCTCTTCGGCTGAGTATTATTTCATGCGCGTTTGTAATTTTGAGGTCAAATTCATAAGTGTATACCTTTTTGCACGTCATTTTATCAATGTTCCTAGATGACATCTGTGCGATATCAAATGTTTCAGATGGCCCGATGAAGTTTCAGTCGACTGTGTCGGAGGACGACAACAAGCTTGTCACGCTGACGTGTTCAGCTGACTGCCGCCCGAATTGTACTCTCACCTTCACCAAAAATAACGTGACGCTGAAATCGACAAGTTACGTGAATTACATCACACACGTCGTGGACAGCCGCCTTACGGTGGTCGGCGACAGTTTCACCTGCATCGCCAGCAACATCCATGACTCCGTATCCAAGGTCCACAAGTTTTATAATAATCAAGGTCAGTACCAGGACAGCAAGGTATTACCGGTATAGCGGTATAAGTATAGCAATGTTTATTTTTTTCTCACAACCGGTATATTTGGTAATAGAAATATATGAGTGAGTGAGTGAATTGGGTTTCAAGCCGCTTTTAGCAATATTCCAGCAATATCACGGCGGGGGATACCGGAAATGGGCTTCACACAATGTGCCCATGTGGGGAATCGAACCCGTGTCTTCGGCGTGACGAGCGAACGCCTTAACCGCAAGGCTACACCACCGCCCCGGAAATATATGAAGTTTTGTGATTATCACTACAGTTTAAGTTAAATCTACACAGACTTTCATTCACACTGAAGTTCTCCATTGGATATAATTAACAAAACAGCATACTTCACATGCAATTCATTTTATGAAACAGAAAATACACCCCTCAAAAACAAATCTAACTTCTTTTATCGCAACCATAACACATCGAGCGAACGCTTTAACCACTGGGCTACCCCACCACAAACGTGAGTACACCTAGTCTGAAATAGCCAACGTGAGTACACCTAGTCTTAAATAGCCAACGTGAGTACACCTTAGCTTTACTAACCAACACGAGTACACCCGGGTTCGCTGAAAACCTGGGTTCGATTCTCCACATGGGTACAACATGTGGAGCCCATCCCTGGTGTCCCCCGCCGTGATATTGCTGGAATATTGCTAAATCTATACTCCCTTACTGTTGTAACCAAAATGTGTACATCTGTTTTGTAATAACCGACATGAGTACACCTACCCTGTAATAACAATAACCAACATGAAGACACCTATTTTATAATAACCGACATGAGTAATATCCAACGTAAGTACAACTATTACACAATGTGAAACGTGAGTACTCCCAGCGTAATTCCTGTTGATATTGTTTGTGTGTCAAGTGCTGGACCATACAACTACATACTAGGCTCTACAACATTTTGAGAATAAACTTCAAACTTTGTTCTGCAGTAATACCAGACATAACAAGATTGACAGCCAATAGGCGTGAGACTGACAGAATGCACATCAAGGCGAAACAAACCCTCGATCTGATGTGTATTGTGATTGGTCGACCTGAACCAACCATCACGTGGTACATCAACAAGGAAGAGGATAGCCGGTCAAGGACGATGCTGAAGAAATCAACATTTGAACCCGCCTACATTGCTAACGCTGACTTCAACGTGCACAACTACAAGAGTTCGTACAACGTTCCGAGCGTGGAGGCACAACATCATGGAAGGTACTGCTGCAGTGCGCACAACGCCTTGCCTAACTCCATCAGGGAGGCGTGTGTCACTGTCGTAGTTGAGAGTAAGTATTCTCTCTCTCTCTCTGTCTCTCTCTCTCTCTGTCTCTCTCTCTCTCTGTCTCTCTGTCTCTCTCCTTCCCTACCTCCCCCTCTCTCTCTCTCTCCCTACCTCCCCCTCTCTCTCTCTCTCTCTCTCTCTCTCTCTCTCTCTCCTACCTCCTCTCTCTCTCTCTCTCTCTCTCTCTCTCTCTCTCTCTCTCTCTCTCTCTCTCTCTCTCTCTCCTAGCCCAACTCCATCAGGAAGGCATGTGTCACTGTCGTAGTTGAGAGTAAGTACTCTCTCTCTCTCTCTCTCTCTCTCTCTCTCTCTCTCTCTCTCTCTCTCTCTCTCTCTCTCTCTCTCTCTCTCTCTCCAATTTCCGGTATCCCCCGCATATTGCTGGGTGCGGCGTAAAAAAAACTCACTTATTCACTCACCCACCCACTCAGCCGTCACTCACTCACCTGTCACCCACTCACTGTCAGACTGTCTCCATCTTTCTTCATCTCTCTCTCTCTATCCCATTCATCCGTGAAGATCCGGGTCAGAATTGATCTTCAGTAAACCATGCTTGTCGTAAGTGAGTGAGGGAGCGAGAATATTACTGTGTGCGGCGTAAAACAAAACTCACTTACTCACCTTCCCATTGTCTTGTCACTTGATTATGACTTCTTCCTATCTCTAGGTTTGCCGACAGTGGTTGCCGCCCCTGATGACGTGTATTCTGAAGTTGGCAACGCCGTCACAGTGACGTTCTCTGTGCTTTCCCACGAAGCACTCAGCGTGGACTGTAGACGTGGGAACAACACCTGCAACGTCAACATCACCGTCTACAACAACACCTTCGACACAAATCTGTATCAAATCACTCTGGATACAATGCTTGAAAATGACGATGATTTTGGCACATACATCCTTCACCTTCAAAACGGAGAAGGTTCAAGCGAGTTAACTCTACATATAGTAGAAGGAGGTGAGATATTTTTAGACTGTTTATCAATATATTTCCTCAATGTGCAATCACAGTGTGCTTAAACCCAGTTAATAATCTAAATCATCCTTTCGTCAGCCATATACTGACATCGGTATATCGGCACCATATGCCAATGTTTAGAAAAAAAAATATAGATTTATGTGCGTAGACAATAGATGCATGTGGGTAGCCTAGTGGTTAAACGTCCGCTCGTCACGCCGAATACCCTGGTTCGATTCCCCACATGGGTACAATGTGTGACGCCTATTTCTAGTGTCCCTCGCCGTGATATTACTGGCGGCATAAAACTAAACTCACTCACTCACTCCTCTTTGTTGTTTTTTCTGAAGGCATGATGCTTGTGAATAATAATTATTTGCAGCCAAGTCCGATGCATCACATGGACGTCCATCAGTGGTGCCTATTGTTTCGGGAGTCATCGCCATGATCGTCGTCCTCGGGTGTGTCGCCATGGTAACCATCCTGTACAGGAGAGGAAGGCCGAAGCCAGGCCAACTGGAAGGTAGTTGCTTTCCTGTCAGCTGTTGAACCAGTCTTCTAAACTGGGCGCCTGTCTTCCTTCCTTGTCATACTTTTCTCCCAAGCAATGCAACTGACATGTATCCTGTTAATTATGTACTGAACAACATTAGAAACGCACCACAATAAAATGCACCGACGATGCTCAGATATCACGGGTACATTTCAGTGTGACGGGATATTTCGTATTATATGGGTGGTGCGTTTCTTATGTTGTTCAGTATATTAAAAAAGTAAAGTGTGGTGCATGTTAATTGTAAGACACATTTCAAACAAAGTGCTCATGGGCTTACTTTGATTTTACTTACTAAAACCTGGTGACACACACAACCGTCATTTCTTTTATTTAACCTCTTTATTTACAACCGTGTAAAGTAGAGAGAGAGAGAGAGAGAGAGAGAGAGAGTGTGTGTGTGTGTGTGTGTGTGTGTGTGCTGTGTGTGTGTGTGTGTGTGTGTGTTTTATCCAGAGCTGGTCACAACACCAGAGTGAAGGTCTGTGGCATGTATCCATACACGTGGTAGATTGCCTGAACTCACCCTACACGTATATCTGGACCCTTGAAGATCCGGGTTAGGATTGATCTTCAGTGACCCATGCTTGTCGTAAGAGGCGACTAACGGGATCGGGTGGTCAGGCTCGCTGACTTGGTTGACACATGCCATCGCATCCCAATTGCGTAGATCAATGCTCATGCTGTTGATCACTGGATTGTCTGCTCCAGACTCGATTATTTGCAGACCGCCGCCATATAGCTGGAATATTGCTGAGTGCGGCGTAAAACAACAACCAACCAACACAGTCATATGTATAAATCTTTCTTTGTACTTGTCTATATGGATCATATTTCGACAGCCATGTTAAATTCACATTCTGTGTTATGGTTTCAGCTAGAAACCATAACATCTACAAGACCATCATCGGCCTGGTCACGCCAAAACGTGACAAGACAGGTAAGACCCGTGACTGAAGGGTGTGACGTGACTGAACCACCTCTGTCAGTGTGGAGGCTAAACTGTAATCTGTTTGATTTGACCAACTGCCCAAATCATGAACATAATGAATCCATGATCGTCAAATCCACTTTAGACAGCCATGCAGATTACAAGACAGAAGCCTCATTAAGTGTGCATCGAAGTGATGTCAGTGAGTGAGTTTAGCTTTACGCTGCTTTTAGCAATATCCCAGCAATATCACAATGGGGGGACACCAGAAATGGGCTTCACATTGTACCCATGTGGGGAATCGAACCCGGGTCTTCAGCGTGACGAATGAACGCTTTAAATACTAGGCCACCCACTGTAGTGATTTAAACCCGGCATATCTTCAACTGAGACCGAAACAAACAAACTTACATCATGCTTTTGATCACTGGATTGTCTGGTCCAGACTCGACTATTTACACACCGCCGCCATAGAGGTGGAATATTGCTGAGTGCGGCGTTAAACAACAACCAACCAACCTATTTAGCAATTTAGAGTGTTTGGTTCCATTTAAAATGTAGCGAGTTTAATCGTAACAATGCAAATTTACTGGTTGTCTTTTGTTTATGACTCGTGTGGTTATATAAAATGTCTTCATATTTCATACTTTGGTCGCTATCTGCTGTTTTTCGGTGATAGGTCTGAATAGTATCCAAAGTTTCCCTACATTTATGCAGTTATATATTCACGACAAGAATTAAATTCGTTTAAAACAAATAAAAGTATTATTTGTTAAAAATGTCCCTGATTTTACCGAAAACGTCCGAAGAGAGATTACTGACCTGACACGATGAAATATATTTCAGGGACAGAGTCTGTGTTGGAGAGGTCAGAGAGTGATAAGGAAGGTCAAGGAAGCGAGGGAAACGCTGAACAAGACGAGGATGGTAACAATTAATCTTACATTTTGCAAAATGTGGGTAACGCTCTGTCAATGGTAACTAAAGGAATGGGACAGGTAACATACGGAGCACACACAGGCCCTCGTGTCTTTGCTAGGATTAAAGATGAAAAAATATTGTTTTTGAGATGATCCCCGATTCAAAAAGCTTCACATTACTGTACTGTGAAGCATTTCGACTCGGGGGTCATCTCAAAAGTTTATATCATTTTTATAAAATCTGTAATCCTCGCAAAGACACGATGACCTGTGATACGGAGATCAATATATACCAGTACCGTATGACTTCCGCCACATACGACGTACAGTGTACCACTGGGAACAATGGACACCCCAAAGAGAAAGCTGCAACACCGCTAACATAGAACACACGACATTCAGATAACATTATAACACCGCTAGTATTGGACACGCCACGAACAGGGAACATTGTAACACTGGTAACAGGACATGCCACGTGTAGGGAACATTGTAACACTGGTAACATAGGACATGCCACGTGTAGGGAACATTGTAACACTGGTAACATAGGACATGCCACGTGTAGGGAATATTGCAACACTGCTAATATAAGACATGCCACGTGTAGGGAACATTGTAACACTGGTAACAGGACATGCCACATGTAGGGAACATTGTAACACTGGTAACATAGGAAACGGCACGAGCAGGGAAGATTGTAACACTGGTAACAGGACATGCCACATGTAGGGAACATTGTAACACTGGTAATATAGGACATGCCACTTGCAGGGAACATTGTAGCATGGTAACTTAGGAAATGCCACGTGTAGGGAACATTGTAACACTGGTAACATAGAAAACGGCACATGCAGGGAACATTCTAACATTGGTAACATAGGACATACCACGTGCAGGGAACATTGTAACACTGGTAACATAGAAAAGTGCACGTGCAGGGAATAGTGTAACCCTGGTAATATAGACAATGCAAAGTGCGGGTAACATTGTAACACCAATGGTATAGGGCATCCCACGTGCGGGTTATATTGTAACCCTGGTAACAGAGGACATGCCACGTGTAGGAAACAATGTAACATTGGTAATATAGGATATGCCACGTGTAGGAAACATTGTAACACTGCTAATATTGGACATGGCACGTGTAGGAAACATTGTTATATTGGTACTATAGCATATGCCACGTGTAGGAAACATTGTAACCCTGGTAATATAGGACATGCCACGAGCAGGGAACATTGTAACACTGGTAATATAGGCCATGCCACGTGTAGGAAACATTGTAACCCTGGTAATATAGGACATGCCACGAGCAGGGAACATTGTAACACTGGTAATATAGGACATGCCACGTGTGGGGACATTGTAACACTGGTAATATAGGACATGCCACGTGTGGGGACATTGTAACACTGGTAATATAGGACATGCCACGTGTGGGGACATTGTAACACTGGTAATATAGGCCATGCCACGTGTAGGAAACATTGTTACCCTGGTAATATAGGACATGCCACGAGCAGGGAACATTGTAACACTTGTAATATAGGCCATGCCACGTGTAGGAAACATTGTAACCCTGGTAATATAGGACATGCCACGAGCAGGGAACATTGTAACACTGGTAATATAGGACATGCCACGTGTGGGGACATTGAAACACTGGTAATATAGGCCATGCCACGTGTGGGGACATTGTAACACTGGTAATATAGGACATGCCACGTGTGGGGACATTGTAACACTGGTAATATGGGACATGCCACGTGTGGGGACATTGTAACACTGGTAATATGGGACATGCCACGTGTAGGAAACATTGTAACATGGTAATATAGGAAGCGCCACGTGCAGGTTGCATTGTAACAGGTAATATAGGACATGCCACGTGTGGGGACATTGTAACACTGGTAATATAGGCCATGCCACGTGTGGGGACATTGTAACACTGGTAATATGGGACATGCCACGTGTGGGGACATTGTAACACTGGTAATATGGGACATGCCACGTGTAGGAAACATTGTAACATGGTAATATAGGAAGCGCCACGCAGGTTGCATTGTAACTGGTAATATAGGACATGCCACGTGTGGGGACATTGTAACACTGGTAATATGGGACATGCCACGTGTAGGAAACATTGTAACATGGTAATATAGGAAGCGCCACGTGCAGGTTGCATTGTAACTGGTAATATAGGACATGCCACGTGTGGGGACATTGTAACACTGGTAATATGGGACATGCCACGTGTAGGAAACATTGTAACATGGTAATATAGGAAGCGCCACGTGCAGGTTGCATCGTAACTGGTAATATAGGACATGCCACGTGTGGGGACATTGTAACACTGGTAATATGGGACATGCCACGTGTAGGAAACATTGTAACATGGTAATATAGGAAGCGCCACGTGCAGGTTGCATTGTAACTGGTAATATAGGACATGCCACGTGTGGGGACATTGTAACACTGGTAATATGGGACATGCCACGTGTAGGAAACATTGTAACATGGTAATATAGGAAGCGCCACGTGCAGGTTGCATTGTAACTGGTAATATAGGACATGCCACGTGTGGGGACATTGTAACACTGGTAATATGGGACATGCCACGTGTAGGAAACATTGTAACATGGTAATATAGGAAGCGCCACGTGCAGGTTGCATTGTAACTGGTAATATAGGACATGCCACGTGTGGGGACATTGTAACACTGGTAATATGGGACATGCCACGTGTAGGAAACATTGTAACATGGTAATATAGGAAGCGCCACGTGCAGGTTGCATTGTAACTGGTAATATAGGCCATGCCACGTGTGGGGACATTGTAACACTGGTAATATGGGACATGCCACGTGTAGGAAACATTGTAACATGGTAATATAGGAAGCGCCACGTGCAGGTTGCATTGTAACTGGTAATATAGGACATGCCACGTGTGGGGACATTGTAACACTGGTAATATGGGACATGCCACGTGTAGGAAACATTGTAACATGGTAATATAGGAAGCGCCACGTGCAGGTTGCATTGTAACTGGTAATATAGGACATGCCACGTGTGGGGACATTGTAACACTGGTAATATGGGACATGCCACCTGTAGGAAACATTGTAACATGGTAATATAGGAAGCGCCACGTGCAGGTTGCATTGTAACTGGTAATATAGGCCATGCCACGTGTGGGGACATTGTAACACTGGTAATATGGGACATGCCACGTGTAGGAAACATTGTAACATGGTAATATAGGAAGCGCCACGTGCAGGTTGCATTGTAACTGGTAATATAGGACATGCCACGTGTGGGGACATTGTAACACTGGTAATATGGGACATGCCACGTGTAGGAAACATTGTAACATGGTAATATAGGAAGCGCCACGTGCAGGTTGCATTGTAACTGGTAATACAGAACATGCAAAGTACGGGGAACATTGTAACACTGGTAATATGTAGGAAGCGCCACGCGCAGGGAACATTGTAACACTGGTAATATGGGACATGCCACGTGTAGGAAACATTGTAACACTGGAAATATAGGAAGCGCCACGTGCAGGTTGCATTGTAACTGGTAATATAGAACATGCAAAGTGCAGGGAACATTGTAACACCGGTAATATGTAGGAAGCGCCACGCGCAGGGAACATTGTAACACTAGTAACATAGGACACGCCACGTGCAGAGAACACTGCTAAAATAAGACATGCCACGTACAGGGAACACTGTAACACGTGCCTCTTGCAGGTACCATTGCAACACACGTGACACTGGATGACCCAAGGACCGTGCTTACAATTTTGACGAACTTGTTTTTATGCCATCATGTTCTACGACATGAGTAACGAATCTATCAGAATACAAGGCTGTCTGTTTGTCCTTCCATGACAATGTCCTTCAACGTGACAACAGTCGGTTTCAGTACCCGATCGTGTTCCTTGATACACGACGGGAAACCGAACACCCGGTCACCTCTTCCTAGTCGCCACGGGCAACATGGACGGGTTACTTAGGTCCAACATGGACTGGATTGCCTGGTCCATGTCGATAATGAGTGAGTGAGTTAAAATTTAAAGTCACATCGGCAATATTTCAGCCATATCGTGACTAAAACAGGTTTAGAATTCACCATAAATACATGTAAATTATAAAAACCTGTCATCGAAGGACAGTTAAACCGACTAGAATATCACAGTATCAAGAAATAAAACTAGCATCTCTCTCTAAAACTGGATTTTAAATTAGGACAATACAGTATAAATATGGGCTATAGACTACCAACAACTGAAGGTAGATCACCATACCAGGGACCATGGGGACTTACAGTGCTATTGCTACCTGCATGGACCCTAGTTGGATTGTCGATAATAAACATGGTGTATGTTGAATAATGTTGTGTGCAGTGCTGCACACTACACAAGCACACCCCTGGTTCACATTGCCAACCAGAATGACGTATATGCAAATATATATGAAGTTAATTCCTGATAGTTTATGGACGCTTCGCAGGTAAACAAGTAAATACAATAGTTTGTACTGCGAAGATTTTCAGAAAACGGAGACTGTCTTTAAATGCTGTCACATGTTTCAGGGCTAGAGTCAGTGGAGAAGAGGGCAGCACTTCGCAGGAAAGGTCAAGGTGAGTGTGATGACCCGAGGAATGTCATTCCCCAGTCAAGGGAGTTAACTTACTGCAAAAGTTCCAATTTCCACTTTTATGGTAAATTATCTCCCTTGTAAAGCTGCTCACTCGCTGGCAACAATGTCGACTTGGGAAGGGAACGACAATGAGTGTTATGAATGGTTCAAAACCTCATCTGCCACTCGTCTGATTTTACAACAGGATCAATGCATCGCGAAGGGTTATTTAAATGGGTAACACTAAATCTCGATGGGTCTTACAACGTGGGAACGATGTTGTACAGGCGGCATACAAGATGGTGGACACTGTCTTACGTGGGGTAATTCAAGGTGGGGTAGACTTGACAAGGGGGTATCTTCCCATAAGACAGACCTCCCAAAAGACAGACCGCTTAAAACAACACATTTTATGGTTGGTTGCATAAGGTTTGATTAAGCTGTACCCTTGATGATAATGGTATGTGCCAAGATACAAAATACAGCATTAGGTATTAACTAGGTAGGGGACTTGGTTACAGTGAGAGTGGAGTCTTTGTGATTTTTGCGACAGAAACTGTATGATTTATGACAGCCATTTTGATTTGTCACAGAGTCTTTGCAATGATATGTGTTATAAGATAAATGGTAATTATAGCTTTAGTCTATGGTATTAAAGACTATAATATTCCTAATGAACACATAATATCATATAGCAACTATATAATTTACTTGAATAACTCTAGCAAGAGCATAGATATAATTGTCTTCATAATTCGCAATGAAAGTAATTTATATAATAAAAATGAGTAAACCATCAAGATGAACAACCCTCGAAGAAAATATTCACAGCGAATTATGTCATATGTATAAATAACGGAAAATGCCTATCATTTTGAGTTTATTCAGGTTAAGGCTATAGGTTGTGTTGTTTATAAACATTTACTTGGCCAATGAATGATGTGCATCAGGTAATTTCAAATCGCCCACATGATCAAGTCACAAGATAAGATGATTTCTTTAATATCTCAAATGTGTACAGTTTTCCAGTTTTCACATTCTTAAAGCATGTCTATATAACATTTTTAACGAGTACCTGCAAGTGATTGCCAGTCACAATATCATTACCCCTCGACATGGAACACATACATATAGATAGTACAAAGCCCCAATCACAATGCTTTACTCACATAGTTTGTACAAAACAATTATTTTCAGAAGACAATAATGAGAGGAAAACACAATCAGATCAATTTATTATAAAAAAGTATGAAAGTCTTAACAATTTATGACTTTACAGGATTATCACGGGTTTTCAGAGTAATGTAACTATATAAGTAAAGTGCTTGAGAACATTCATAATTTCTCTAACAACTCACTACTACCCAGTATTCACTAGTAAACTAGGAGAGATAGGAGTGTGATGTTACTATACTCTGTAGTGACTCTGGGTCAGCTCATTAATTAAATAGGGGTGGACAGCATGGCTCAGCTAGTTAGTGTACTTATTGAGTCTGTCTTATGGGAGGTCTGTCTTTTGGGAAGTCTGTCTTTTGGGTGTGAACCGACAAGGGGGAGGTAGATTCGGTGTAGGGTGTGGAGGGGTGGGGACTACTATAATATATGGTGAGGTGAAATTGGGTTTAACGTCGTGCTTGAGAAATTTCGCTCATATGACGACGTGCATGCGTGTGTATGTGTATGTGCGGCTGCTTGTACTAGCCCAGACTGAAGCTGGTATTATAGTGCTAGCCCACTTATATACCATGCCGCAGTGAAGCATGAATACCTCACTCAGACACATTATACTGACTCCGAGCCGACCAGTCCCAGTTGTACCCATTAATGCATAGCGCCAGGCAGGGACAAACAAGTACCACATTTCAACGTCTTTTGGTATGACGTGGTCGGGGATCGAACCCGCGACCTTCCGCTCCCCGGGCGAACGCTCTCACCACTACACCACGGAGGCGGTCTATAATGCAAGGGGTTATTTGAATGGAGATGATGTGACGTTTGATTTTAAATAATGTAACGTATGTTTTTCAAAACATACACATATTCTTTTTATCATATAATTATTAATTATCTACATTTTGTCTCCAGAGAGACGAATGGGGGAGTACCTGATGGATGGCACAGGGTGCAGTGAGGCTTAATGTTTGAAACCAACACTGACAAAATACGAGTGGACTTCACACTGAAACGACCTGAGTACTCAGAGAGACCATCGTTGTGTTTGGTGTGAGATATTGTGAGAGAGATCTGTTGTGTTTGGTGTGAGATATTGTGAGAGAGATCTGTTGTGTTTGGTGTGAGATATTGTGAGAGAGATCTGTTGTGTTTCATGTGAGGACATTGTCACAGGTACATCTGTTGTATTTGGTGTAAGGACATTGTCAGAGATATGACATTTTGTTTGGTGTGAAGACATTGTCAGAGAGACATCTGTTGTATTTTGCCTGAGGATATTGTCAGAGTGACATCTGTTGTGTTTCCTGTAGAGACATTGTCAGAAAGGTGCTTCCTTTGTTTGATATGATGACATTGTCAGAAAGGTTTTTCCTTTGTTTGATATGATGACATTGTCAGAAAGGTGTCTCCTTTGTTTGATATGATGACACTGTCAGAAAGGTGCTTCCTTTGTTTGATATGATGACACTGTCAGAAAGGTGCTTCCTTTGTTTGATATGATGACATTGTCAGATAGGTGTTTCCTTTGTTTGATATGATGACATTGTCAGAAAGGTGCTTCCTTTGTTTGATATGATGACATTGCCAGAAAGGTGCTTCCTTTGTTTGATATGATGACATCGTCAGAAAGGTGCTTCCTTTGTTTGATATGATGATATTGTCAGAAAGGCGCTTCCTTTGTGTGATATGATGACATCAGAAAGGTGCTTTCTTTGTTTGATATGATGATATTGTCAGAAAGGCGCTTCGTTTGTTCGATATGATGATAGTCAGAAAGGTGCTTCCTTTGTTCGATATGATGACATTGTCAGAAGGGTGCTTCCTTTCTTTGATATGATGACATTGTCAGAAAGGTGTTTCGTTTGTTTGATATGATGTCATTGTCAGAAAGGCGCTTCCTTTTCTGATAGGATGATATTGTCAGAAAGGCGCTTCGTTTGTTTGATATGAAATTGTCAGAAAGGTGCTTCCTTTGCTTGATATGATGACATTGTCAGAAAGGTGCTTCCTTTGTTTGATATGATGATATTGTCAGAAAGGCGCTTCCTTTGTTTGATATGATGACATTGTCAGAAATTTGTTTCCTTTGTTTGATATGATGACACTGTCAGAAAGGTGCTTCCTTTGTTTGATATGATGATATTGTCAGAAAGGCGCTTCCTTTGTTTGATATGGTGATATTGTCAGAAAGACGTTCTTTTGTTTGGAGAGAGTTCATTGACAGGGTACGCCTGTTTCTTTCATATGTTGACATTACCGCAGATGACGTTCCATAACGTTCGGTGTGGGGACATTGTCAAAATGACGTCGGTTTTGTTTGAGGAGAGTCCCCTGACCGGGAAGGGGGTGGGGTGGGGTATCTTTAAAGTGATGACGTTCGTTTTCTTTGATATTATGAATTCGTAAGAAAGACGTCCGTTCCCTTATCTCTGAGGGCATTGTCAGAAAGACGTCCATTTTGTTTGGTGTAGGGACATTGTCAGAAAGACGTCCGGTTTGTTTAGTTGGGGCACATTTCAGAATGACGTCCGTTTTGTTTCGGGGACAGTACAGAATGACGTCCGTTTTGTTTCGGGACAGTACATGGACAGGGAGACGTCCGTTGCTTTAATGTGATGACATAAACAGAAGTACGTCCGTTTTGTTTGATGTGAGGACATTGTCAGAAGGGCGTGTTAAGATGTCAGGACATTCTCGAAAAAACGTCCGTTTTTCCTTGTGAATTTTATGACTTGTTATAATAGCTTACCGATTTACGTTACTGTCCACATGTGTCACAGTACCCAAAGGGTGTCACAGGCGTGAGTGAGTGAGTGAACTAGTGCGTGGGTGAGTCGGATGATGAGTTATTGGATGAATGGGTGAGTAAGTGAGTGGGTGAAGTTTTACTCAACTTAATACATCGCCAATATCATTCCGCTTTATGCATCATATTCATCATGTAATGTTTCCATTGAACAAAATACATTGATTGACTGATTGATTATTGTTTTACGCCGCACTCAGCAATATTCCAGCTATATGGCGGCGGTCTGTAAATAATCGAGTCTGGAGCAGACAATCCAGTGATCAACATCGATCTACGCAATTGGGATACGCTGACACATGTGTCAACCAAGTCAGCGAGCCTGACCACCCGATTCCGTTAGTCGCCTCTTACGACAAGTATGGGTAACTGAAGGTTCATTCTAACCCGGGCCTTCAAGGGTCCCGAAATACAAGTTCAGATAAGGATACAACCTATGTGAGTGAGTGGGTTTAGGTTTACGCCGCTTTCAGCAAAATTCCAGCAATTTCAGGCGGGGGACACCAGAAATGGTCTTCACACATTGTACCCATGTGGGGAATAGAACCCGGGCCATCGGCGTGACGAGCGAACGCTTTAACCACTAGGCTACCCCACCGCCCCGCATACATGTACATGTATATTTGTTTTTGAATATTTCATATATACAAATGTCGAGTACATATTGCCGATAGATCCACATTGTACACTTGCCTTAGCTCTTTTTTTATTTGTGTTCATATTTAAATTGTGTTCATGTTGACTGACATTCATATTATTTGCTTGGGTATAATAAACCTTTTCCGCAGTTTTGAACTAGGGCAGTTATTACATAGATATCAATGCATATGCCTTTATCACGGTTCACAGTTGGTAGCCTTCAGGCTTGATTCTGGTACAGGCAAACCAGTGCTTGGTGGTGTGGGTCATGTTAAAGTTTGGACTTCCAGAATCATACTGCACTACGTGTATATAGAAGGCTAAGCCATTCGTCTAGGAATTGTGAATATGTAGAGTGAGTGGGTTTAGCTGGCTTATATCAATGAAATCTGCGACATGCTGTCATTGCTTGTCGGAGCAGATATTCATGACGTAACTAAATAAATTGATTATGATACATGGCAATACATAATGCTGTCATTTCGTTTGGAATCTAGAGAAACATCATAAGTACATCAACTAAACAAATTGTCCCTACTGCTCACAAATTGTACATTGTATCTTTATTAAAGTACATCGCGGCACATCACATGCTTTCATTGTATACACTAAATCAAGTGAGGTATTGTATTTGCCTTTGAATGAACATAGGTTTCAATTCTGGAGCAAATAAGACGTTCATTGGTTCATTCATTCATTCATTCATTCATTCATTCATTCATTCTTTTCCATTCATTCATCCATTCATTCATTCATTCATTCTTTCCATTCATTCATTCATTCATTCATTCTTTCCATTCATTCATTCATTCTTTCTTTCCATTCATTCATTCATTCATTCATTCTTTCATTCATTCATTCATTCTCTAGCTGGTCCGAAACCCATCTCGTTCATAGGCCCCCCAATGACCATCATCCGAATTCAAATAATCCCAGGTGTGTACTTTCTTTTGTACGTCAGCATATATACAGACAGACATCATACAACTGATGTATTCTCTTTTACGTCATTAAACAACAAACAAACGTAGAAAAATTTAAACCAAAATATTGTCTGATATCTGACATAAAGAAACATTTATATAAAATACACTCAGTATGTTGCTTTTATTCCGGTAAAGGGGCCACCGGCCCTTTATACAGGTACAGGGTATAACTACAATTGTAGTGAGTGAGTGAGTTTAGTTTTACGCCGCACTCAGCAATATTCCAGCCATATGGCGGCGGTCTGTAAAATAATCGAGTCTGGACCAGACAGTCCAGTGATCAACAGCATGAGCATCGATCTGCGCAATTGGGAACCGATGACATGTGTCAACCAAGTCAGCGACCCTGACCACCCGATCCCGTTAGTCGCCTCTTACGACAAGCATGGGTTACTGAAGATCAATATTCTAACCCTTCACGGGTTTGTACAATTATAACATGAGCGCTGTATATAATACACGTACATTGAGAACATTAGTGTTACTAAGATATTATTTCACAGATATCCCTTTGAAAAAGGAATCACGTTTCTTAGCAGCAGGAAATATATATTTTGCCAGATTCTTGCAAATGTTTTGATTAGTGGAGCAAAATAACAAGACCATTTTCTCTCGAGTTGGGAACATGTGATAATATTGAGGTAAGAGATTGGATCGCAGATCAAGGTAAAATGGGCACACGAGGCAAAAGTGAAATTCATCCTCGACAACTGGTAATAAGAAAAGGGCAAACACGTTCATTTCGTGGAATTTTATAATATCTGCCCGTTTCTATTAGAAGACGGTGATTAGATCCAAGAAAATTTAAAATGTTAATTTGAAATAATTTTACATCGATAAATTGAACCCAGTTGTGGTATTGAAAATGATCTTTTTAAAGCAAAGAACAGTTCACGTTTGGAGCAGGATTGAATATTTGCATGCCAGATTTGATTCTCAATGTCTACACATCTTTTCCTAAACTGATGTAAGAATATATCAGCCCATCCAACACTCTGTTGAATTCAAACCTCTGCGAATCCGTACTCCGTAAGAGAATAAGCAATGATATTAACCTTGAGCGCCCACGAGCCAACGCTTTAACCACTACTACCCCACCGTTCTCTGCCCCAGCAAGTATATTTCTCTGAAATATTAAAAGTATAAGCTTTCTTCAATATCAAGTTGTTTTCTTGAGTTAATAATCTAAGCTAAAATTTTACAATTTTTAAATAATGTGGCACTTTGACAGAATTTCTAGCCAAAATAGATTTCACAAAATTATTTGGAGTATTTCTATTCAATCCCAAAGTTAAATTACAGAATTTAGTGTGTATTTTTAGACGTCTAGCGATGAATGAAATCCCTAAACTTCTGATACATAAGTCAAAATTGGTAACACTTTAACATCAAAAACATTGAAACAAATATATTGAGGCGTACATGAAATTTTACCCAACCTAGACTTGAGTATTTTTATAACCTTCCAAGCTTGTTGGAGGAACCAGAGGAAGATGACTGGACAACAAGATATTTATAACTAGATACTGTTGTAACATCATCATAACCAATTTTAAACTTTTCCTGATGTCTAAGCTTCCCACTATTTCTAAACACTACAACTTTACTTTTATCCATATTAATAGTAAGCTTCCATTTATCCAATATGCAGGCAACTTGTCAAGACGCTTTTGTAGACCAACAACAGACACGTCCATTAAGATATCATCGGCAAACAGCAAGATAAACAATTCTAAAGCATGTAATGTAACACCATGGGTTTCACACTCCAACTCCTCGATAACGTCATCAATGAAGATTGAAAAGAGAACTGGTGACAATACATTCAGTTGATAAGTAACCTGTCTCAGATTAGTTGCGCTGAACATTAAGTCTGAAACAAAGAAGTGAGTGAAATCGTTTTGTGACGTTTTTATAAGTATTCATGTGCCAAACCCATGGGAGAGGAAAGCATTAAGTGGGTCAAGTCTTCCTTATGTAGCACTTGGTTTTAACCCACAAAAACAGTCGGTTGGTTGTTGTTTAACGCCGCACTGGCCAGTATTCCAGCCATATGAGTGAATGAGTGAGCATGGTCCTAGCAATATAAGGGACCGTCAATAATTTATGGCTAGGGGGTGATGATGATTTTAAGGGGGGTCACCCATTTTGTTCTGGGAAGGTGTGTGTGTGGGGTGGGGTGTGGGGTGGTGGAGATGGTTTGACATCAATTTTGTACATGTAAATATTTAAAAAATTATGCTTAAAAATTTGGGAAGGGGGGGCCGGGGTCATTGATTTTGTACATGACATGCGGGGGCGGGGGTTGTCAGGTACTTTGTACATAAATCTTAGGGGGGTTCATTCACATTGTAGTGCTTCTCCATAAAAATTATCATCACGCCCCTAGCCATAAATTATGAACGCTCCCTAACGGCAGGGGAATCCAGCTATTTGGCATCGAGTCTGGACCTTGATCCAGTGATCAACAGCATGAGCATTGATCTACGCAACTAGAATTCGATGACGTGGCAAGCAAGTCAGCGAGCCTGATCACCCATCCCGTTAGTCGCCTCTTACTGCAAGAATTAATGGGTTGCTGAAGATCAATTCTAACCCGGACCTTCACGGGTCGCCAAAATCAGGAATGAATCTGTGACAAACTTTGAAACATGATCAATGCGGCCAGAGATTCGAACCCTTATGTGTGATAGCCCTTATGTGGATTTCAGTAGTCAAATATGAAATAATGCAAATAATAAATTTAAATGATTTATTGTTGAAAATCACAATTTTCAGTCTGTACTTATTTTGTCTGCTTCACATGTCAAAGAAATGTCCTGTAAAATCCCAAATTGGGAACCATGTTGTTTTGTGTCAGGTGTTTGAAACAGCTAGACATATTCGCTTAATTTCGTTCATATCAAATTTCATTTGCAATACATGGCCTCTCTGTGTCCAGTATAGGAATAAAAGATCTTACTGTGAGAAATTATCCATTTTAAGAAACATGTTTAGAAATACATGCTTCGAGTGTCTCTTTAAACGTTGATAAACATGCATCTTTGTATCAAACAAACCACGCAAATTGCACCCTTTTTATCGGACCATTCGAAGTGCATGACACGTTTCTTTATGAATAACAACTTCTTTTTCACTATTTATACGACGTTTCAGAGCTAAATCTTGCTGCTTCATCAGAAGAATAAAAAGAAGTTGTTAACCTTTCAAAACGTTTCATGTGTTCATGTTCGTCCAACTTCTATGCGCGGAAGGTCGCGGGTTCGATCCCCGACCGCGTCATACCAAAAGACGTTAAAATATGGTACTTGTTGGTTCCTGCCTGGTGCTCGGCATTAATGGGTACAACAAGGACTGGTCGGCTTGGAGTCAGTATAATGTGTCTGAGTGGGGTATTCATGCTTCACTGCGGCATGGTATCTCAGTGGGCTAGCACTATAAAACCAGGTACAGTCTGGGCTAGTACAAGCAGCCGCACATACAAATACACACGCATGCACGTCGTCATATGAGCGAAATATTCTCATGCACTACGTAAAACCCAATTTCACCTCACCACAGCAACTTCTATACCTTTCAAGAAATGCATTCGAAGCGTAATAAAATGCTTTCATTAAATCGTTTTCCGGGTTGAGTTATGCCCCTTGGAATGGTGACTTCCGGTAGAGAAATGTGAAAACAAAGCGAGAGGCCGAGACTTGCTATTTAACACTTGAAAACAAATCAGAAGAGCGACTTCAGCTTGATATGCACGGTGTGTATTAACAAACAATTCTCAACATAAACCCTCGTATCAAACTGATAAATATTTGCACGGTAAGGTGTCGAAAAGCACTGAAGCGAAACGTCTTCAAGAAACCATTGGTAAACGAAGTGCGAGGTCGGAGGGTATATTGTCATGTCCTGGAATAGGTAGTCAACCTGCATGTTAGCTTATGCAAAGGAATTTACCCATGTATTGAAATTCAGTTATATTGTGACGTAACGCCACACACACATGATTAAAACTAGTTGCATCGTTACATTGTATGTTTATTATAATCAAACACTCATTCCAAATTCAAAGTAAACTGTCACATAGAGTCTACACTTGATTTCATGATAGTATTGTTTATAAGCATGAGATGACGAGTGACCGCCCAAACCCTGGTGCTATCGGCGATTGATTGCTTGCTTGTTCTTCAATCACAAAGTAATTAGAGGCTAATTAGGGGAATTATTCCAGGTGATTGTACGGTCATCAGATGCTGTGATTTTGTTTTGTTAATGGTAATACTGCACTCAGCACAGGGGCGGATACAGCTTTTTGAGAAAGGGGGGGTGCACACTATTGAGAAAAGGAGGGGTGCACACTTCATTTTCACCCGAGTTTCAATGGTCATTTAACAAACATTCAGCACAAAAGGGTGTGTGTGCGCACGCACACACACACACCTCTGGATCCGCCTATGCAGCAATATTCCAGGGGTCTGTAAAAAATTTCGAGTCTGGACCAGATAATCCAGTGATTGGTATTGATGTAAGGAATTAGGATACAATGACCTCAACCAAGTCATGGAGTCTGACCTCCTCATCCCGCTTGTCGCCTCTTACGACAAGCATGTTTTGCTGAAGACCAGTTACATATCCCAGTGTCTGGGGTTTTTGACGATGTAAGACAAAGACATATTTTTTATCTGTAATATCATTTAAACTTTTTATTTTAATAACCTTGAGTGATAAAGGAAATATTCATCTATTTCACACAAAAATATCAAGTGTTTCCTACAATTATAGCGTTGATAACATCGTATCGGCGAAACTGTTACCGCTCACCACATCTGGGGATATTGTATGGGTTTTTGACGATGGTTCATACTTTTCTCTCCGCACTGCGATGGAGTGTTGTGATCACATGACTTCCTATTTATATATTGCCTGTCACCAGCAGACGACTGATCTTACAGAATTTTCGCATGCTATTTTTTGTTATTAAGGCAACTGATTTTGCATCTGAAGTGGTATTAACGATATTAACGGTAAATAATATTGATGTTTATTTGCTTTTTATATAACTTTACTTCCCGATTTCCATTCTCAATAACTTCTCACGACAGCGACTTGACATCCGCCCTACCGATGAAAATGCTTGTGCACTCAGATCGCACACATACTCCCCCGATATAGTGCGAGCAAAGCAATCATCTAAATCACCAGAACGTTGAATTCAGCTCGTTCTTGGATATAACCCGTACCTGCATAAGTTGTATGTAATAGCCTAAGTGGTGTGCTGCACAGTGCTTATTCAAACATCCCAATGACTATCACTTCTAAGTAATCATATATATCCTCACATTCTCCTTTTCATTTAAACAGTTTAGATGACATTGTTTATAAATTAAATGTATGATTATATTTATGTTCATACAGGTATGCACTTCAACAATAGAATTCAGTTTTTGCTGATAGGGTTATTGTCATTGATGATTGACCCTTTATGACCTAAATTACCTGTAAGCTTCTGCTTCACCCTTGACATCTACTTGTTTGGCACTTTTGATCCTTGCAAAAGTTAGGGAGTGGGTTAGGGAACCCAGTAATTTTCCAAGTGAATGGCGGCGGTCCCGTAAATAATCGCAGTCTGGACCTGTTGACAATCATAACAATCAACATTATGAGCGTTGAAACGCAGTAAGATACATACATGTGTCAACCATGTGAGCGAGCCTGACCACCCAATCCTGTTAGTCATCTCTTATTACAAGCATGGGTTACTGAAAATCAATTCAAACCCGGATCTTCACGCGTCTGCAAAAGTTTGGAACTGGCTGACAAAATATAAATGCTTGTTAAGTTAAAACACACTATTTTACTCTTCATGCCACAGGCACCTAATAAGGATAAATGTTTCTATAGTGCAGTAGTGCAGATAAAATATTGCTAGTGCAAGTAATCTATATTGTCAGGTTGCACCAGTGCAGGTAACACATTCCACTTCAAGCACATGGCAGCTATTTTATTGGTATAAATTACAGATGGATCAATCACCCGAAGCAGGGGTGGAAATAATTTTAAAATTGCTAGTGTACTCCGGTACAGTGGCACATGTAAAATCACTTGCCCTGATAATTTTTCCACTATACCGTCCGTTTTCTTGTTGATTTTTTAAATAAACAACTTAATTAACATTGGAATATCAACTGGACACCGGTACAGTGTGATATGCAAATTTGCTTGCCCGACAGAAAAAAACACTGGACTCTGGCTTCGGGCAATGGGTTATTTCCTCCCCTGCCGAAGCAACAAATGTCAACAAGCCTGTTTTCATGCTCATACATCAGTTTCATAGACCACTATTGTTGGGAATTGGTTAAAATCTCACAATTGATGATTGATTCATTACCAACGAACAATCATCGAAAAAAAATGGTTAGCGTCATTTTTCAGATTTTCTTATCCAGGTTGTTATTGCAGATATGTATAACATGATGCAACTTGCTACTTTAAAGAGATGACTAATATATCATGAACATAAACTTCCCAGGGTCTTTAAGAAATATTCAGTCATGGCTTTTCAGTTAGTGAAATGAGTTTTCTAAGAATTAAACACGTTTTCAGGCCCTGACACTTCAACGATATGTTCCATTTTCAAGTATTTTAAAGACTAAAACAGTAGTTCCAAAATCGTTTATGTTCGATTATGAGAAAATGTGATTGATTGCTTGGTAGTTTGGTCACTGCGACCAATCTGCGATTATTTCAATTAATCTGAACACCACTATAGACCACACACATTGTACACAATCTTGTGACATTTAATGGATAGTGACACGTCAATCTGTGATACATCGCTTGTCATGGTGTACAAGCTGATTTTGCCAAGTGGAAAAGAAATTGAATGAAAATGTCAAGTAAAAAGCAACCATCTATTAAAAATCCTTTCAGACAAATAATGTCAGCTTTTCTGGAGATAATGAAGTTGACCATGAATATCCAAAATAGAATTCTTGATAATGTGGTGCATCCGATATTCTGATGGTGTAACCTGCTTATTTCACTCGGTTGCAACTGGTGCAGGTACCTAAAATTCTGAATGGCGTACTGTTCCGTGTAATACTTCATTCAAACCCGAAGTAGATTGGTTAGATATCTACATTGTTGTCGCTGATAGCATCACTACATATTATTCTTTGAGAAGTGAAAATATAAATGGACATTTGCCAAGTTAATGATCCAGATAATGATTCACATACAGGGGTGGAAATAACTTTTATATTGCTAGTGTACTCCGGTACAGTGGCACATGTAAAATCACTTGCCCTGATAATTTTTCCGTGCTACCAGACGATTTTCTTGGTGATTTTTTTAAACAAACAACATAATTAAAATTGGAATGTCAACTGGACACCGGTACAGGGTGATATACAAATGTGCTTGCCCGACAGAAAAAAACACTGGACTTGGACGTCGGGCAATGGGTTATTTCCACCCCTGACATATGGTGTATGACTATGAAACAAAATATTATGGATGTCAACTTCTTGTGTATTCTATACACAACGTTTCTGGGCTTTTCCTTGCCCCTTCGTCGGGTGAATGGTGACTAATATATATATATATATATACTAGTAATGTACATGAAGCCAGAGTGAATTTAAACATGTATATGCAATAAACAGGATTATGAGATGAAGGAGAATAGGTATACAAAACAGATATGATGTTGTTACAATTGATGATAGAAGCCAATTGGGTCTAATTGATGTACAAAGAGGGTCGGGGGGTTTACAGTGGATTAAGAGGCGATAGATGAAACCATTGAGTCTAATTACATATGGTGGTTTGTTTATTTGTTGTTTAACGTCACACTCGGTAATATTCCAACTTTATGACAGTGGTCTGTAAATAATCAAGTATGGACCAGACAATCTACGATGACATGTGTCAATCAAGTCAGCAAGTCTGACCACCTGATCCCATTAGTCGCCTCTTACAACAAACATGGGTTTGCTCAAGACCAGTTCTAACCAGAATCTTAAAGATTGACAAGTGGTGCAAGTGACAGGGATTGTTTTTCCAAGATTTTCCAGGATTAAATCTTGGCTTTTCCTAGATTTTCTAGGAATAAATAAAGATTGTGTTAACCAGGGTCTCCGGGAACATATCTTGACTTATCCTTAATTTTCCAGGAATGAATCTTTGTGTTTCCTATATTTTCCAGGAATAAATCTTTGTGTTTCTTAAATTTTCCAGGCATAAATCTTGGTTTTTCCTAAATTTTCCAGGAATAGATCTATGTTTTCTAAAGTTTTACAGGAATACATCTTCATGTTTCCTAGAGGTTTTAATGTTTTGCCAGCCCAGGGTATAACAAACATTATTACTGTTGTTATAATCCAGTTTAGCTGCCATGGGCAAATTTGTTTTCAAATCCAAGATAAATTCCTTCTTGGTAGGGCTGCACAATATACCTGGGTTTGCCGGTATTTACTGGCGCAGACATGAAAACGATACGTATTGCGATACGCTGATCGAAAAACGATATTTTGACATGCATTCGGAATACTTTGTAGCACACGAAAATCTTCGGATATTTCCGTTTTTCACACCGGAAGTCAAGATAGTTGTGTTAGTAATTTTTGTTCAAGTGTTTCGCAATGTTTTTGGTGTGAAAATTTTAAATATTTACTCATTAATGACCAATGATCTCTGATATGTCCTGACCAGGTCAAGTTGTTGTCTAAAATCTCAGGCCTTTTTTTTGAGAGTGGAGAAACTAGTTTGTTCAAACTAGTAAGCTCTGTGTTGATGTTAAATTGATCTTTTCCTTGTTTCATTTGTGCTAAATATTATTTGCAATTTTTATTTTGTCATGATTAAAAGTTTTTATCGAAGCTTGATCAAGATTCTTGGTGATTAGGTCTACATGCCACACAGACATTTCAACATCGTTACATGGTTTGAAGTGTATGTGGAATGTTTCATTTCATTCAGGGATAGAAATACTTTTTCTTCTAAGTGTGTCTTAGGGCACCAGACAAATATTTTTAGATGTGCCTTTCAGAAATCAAGTGTGCCCACATGTTTTTAGAATAAATAACTGTAGCAATGATGATGATCTTTTGAATTTTATTGTTAGTAAACAACAAATGTAACCGGTTTTCTGTTATCACTGATATGTCTTCTGTTTAAAATGGCTTTCGCTTCATATATTCCGCTTTCCCAGCCCCTTATAGCTAAAACTTTTGTGACATGTTGACTTGTTCAATATATGTAAAATGCACAATTTCCTCTTCAGTAACCGAACTATAACTACTCCCATCACTCTAAATGGAAAAACAACCAGATTTCTTGACATCATCCATCATAATTCCAGCGATTTCCTGGGTGATAAAGTCAATAAATGTTTTTGCTTGTTTTTCATTTACGTAAGTGTTTTGTTTTGGGGATTACATGACTAAAGGTGAGTTATGTCTCTTAAAAATTAGGCGCGTGCCATAAGGGCACCGAGAACATTTTTTATCTGTGCCATTTCAATATTTACCGTGCCATGGCACACTATATGGGGAATTTCGAACCCTGTCATTATTTTTTTTATTAAATTAATCAAGGCATGTTAGTGAGACTAAAATAATACAAAAATGTAAATAATAAAGTACCTCTGACTGTGTATAAAATTCATTTATGATGATTAATGATGAACGATTAAACTGATAAATGTATTAACTTGGAGTTACCTCCCTTTGTTTATCCTCTGGCTTCTTGAGTCATTCCATTGCTCAGCTGATTGTTATGTAGTCTGTCATACAGACCCTGAAACAAATATACCCAATACAAGCTATGCAAGTCTAGAATGTATTTCAAGTCCAGATTACCAACATATAGAATGTCTCTGGGATCCTTTTCATTGTATTTTAGCAACACACTTTGAAAATATTTTTTTGTGAAAAATATGTTCATTTCAGAAAACTAGGTCTTAGTCTAGTTGTTATTAGATGTATGAATAGACTTTCTGGTTGGAATAAGTGGTAATAGATGGACGCCACACTGATGCAAATAAACTGCGATCTCTTGTGGTTTAATATAGATTAACCCGTGAAGGTCCAGGTTAGAATGAACCTTCAGTGAGTGAGTGAGTGAGTTTAGTTTTACGCCACACTCCGCAGTATCCCAGCTATATGGCGGCGGTCTGTAAATAATCGAGTCTGGACCAGACAATCCAGTGATCAACAGCATGAGCATCGATCTGCGCAATTGGGAACCGATGACATGTGTCAACCAAGTCAGCGAAACTGACCACCCGATCCCGTTAGTCGCCTCTTACGACAAGCATAGTTGCCTTTTATGGCAAGCACATGGGTTGCTGAAGACCTACTCTACCCCGGATCTGCACAGGTCGAACCTTCAGTAACCCATGCTTGTCATAAGAGGCGACTAACGGGATCGGGTGGTCAGGTTCGCTGACATGGTTGACACATGTCATAGGTTCCCAATTGCGCTGGTCAATGCTCATGCAAAGGTAGAAGGATCTGCATGATTTCGGTCTCCAGGTCAGCAAGCACCACTGTTCATGAGTACTAATGGAATGAATTGGTCTTCAGCAACACATGCTTATTGTAAGAGGTGGCTAACAGGAAGGATGGTCAGACTCGCTGACTTGGTTGACACATGTCATCGTATCCCAATTGCGTGGATTGATGCTTATGCTGTTGATCACCAGATAGTCTGGTCCAGGCTCAATTATTTACAGACCGTCACCATATAGATGAAATATTGCTGTATGTGGCATTAAATAACAAAACAACCATAAGGAATTTGGCATTATTCACTATGTGAATCTGTGATGCCTGAATTGGATCAGTTAAACACATATGGTTTGCAAGATGACGAGGTTAGACTGGTTAATTACACAGTGTTGTACTGTTTTTTTAAACATGAGTGAGTGAGTTAAAATATAACGTCACCTCAGCAATATTTCAGCCATGTAGTGACGATTTAAACTTGATGTCATGATGAACATTCAGTTCACTTTACATGAATACGCATCTTTTCTGGAGCTCATCATTTACCACGATTGTACCTCAACCCAAACGAACCATGAAGGTCCATGTTAGAATATTGATCTTCAGTAACCCATGCTTGTCGTAAGAGGCGACTAACAGGATCGGGAGGTCAGGCTCGCTGGCTTGGTTGACACATGTCATTGGTTCCCAACTGCGCAGGTCAATGCTCATGCCGTTGATCACTGGATTGTCTGGTCCAAACTCGATTATTTACAGACCACCACCATATAGCTGGAATATTGCTGAGTGCGGCGTAAAACTAAACTCACTCACACTCAACCCAAACACAGCCTATTAAGTAAGCCATATTGGAAGTGTGCTGAAAACTTGTGCTCATACACTTGTCTATATTTCTTAAACTCTCTGTGTCCCTTTTACGACATGTCTTAAGATATTTTATCAATATATCGGGATCTTTTGTCCAACGGTGTCCACGCCGAAGACCCGGGTTTGATTCCCCACATGGGTACAATGTGTGAAGCCCATTTCTGGTGTCCCCCACCGTGATATAGCTGGAATATTGCTAAAAGCGGCGTAAAACTAAACTCACTCACTCAGTCAGTCAGTTCAACGGTGTCTGTAGAGTTGTTCATTAACTTTCCCAGATTCATTGATTGTGAGTTTGAATCTCACGTGTGTTTGATCTTTGATTTGTCAGCAACATTTTCAGCACAATATAAATCCTTATAACCCTGCAGAAGAAGAAATGGCCGAATACATACATAATGTTTCAATAAATAGAACAAGGCCAGGCTGACGGTTCGGTGCCAACGTAGGTTACATAGTACAACCCTAAGCGTGCACTGTGAACAAAACTTCCCATGTTAAGCCGTGAAAATTCAGGTTAGAATTGGTCTTCAGCAACCCATGCTTGTCATAAGAGGTGACTGACAGGATAGGATGGTCAGACTCAAAGACTTTGTTGACACATGTCATCGTGTCTTAGTTGCGTATATGTATCGTCTCCTAATAGCGTAGATTGATGCTCATGCTGTTGATCACTGGATTGTGTGGTTAGATTTGATTTATGTACCGACCACAGCCATATAGCTGGAATATTGCTGAGTGCGGCGTAAAAAAAACAAACAAAAATACAAATAATCATTTATCTCTTTCTTCCCTTCCAGACTGAGTGACAGATCAGGAGAGCAGACCCATCCAGCAGAAATAGACAAGAGGGCAGCCATCACAACCACAAGACCAAATTCATAGATACAATCTCAAAACTTTTGGTACCTTCATTCTATCTGTGACCTGAGCCATCATCACCAACCGATCTATTCATGATGCTAATCACAAGACAAGCACCTGCCTAACCTCAGTGAACAGTTCGGAGCATGAGCGTATTCCATCCAGACACATCTCTATGTTAGTATGATCGACGCCAGTAAGGCAGCGGCATACCACCAGGCTGCCATCGCCACCTACCAGGTGTCCCTTTACGGCTTGTACACAAATGCAGGTGTCTGTGATCCCATCATCAACGGCACCGTAGTTGACAGCGTCACTGCAAGAGGAAATCCTAATTTGATAACTCAAATAACAAGCAGCCAAGTTGATGTCACAGAAGCGAGGAAAGACTTGAAGGAAAAACAGGAAAGGTTCACCTGTGATGAGTGTGGAAAGTCAGTGAAAAGTCGAAATTATCTCAAGTTGCACAAGAGAACACATACAGGAGAGAAGCCGTTCGCGTGTAAGCAGTGTAGTCTTAGCTTCAGTGTACGGGGAAACCTGTACAAGCATATGCGAACACATTCTGGGGTGAAGAATTACGGCTGTAGCTACTGCGGGCAGATGTTTCGGGACAGTACATCTCGGAATCGGCATGAGAGGCTCCACACTGGGGAGATGCCGTATCGGTGCGAGGACTGTGACCAAAACTTTCGATACCGAGAAATGTACAAGGCTCACATGATGAAGACCCATGGCCTTGATGAAGAGGAGGTTGTGTCTCTGCCTCCAGGGAAGAAGATGAAGATGGACCAGAGCAGTTCGAACTCACAAGGTGCATCCGGCACTCAAAAAGGTAGCACGGATGTGCACCATATGAGTCCCAAGACAGTCTCTTCCAAGGGTGATGACAAGATCCAGAACCTGTCCTCTGCTGTTCAAATAATTGGAAACGTAATTTTGAAAAAGGAAGTTGGTTTAGACAGCACGGGTCAGAAGGATAAGCTGGCTAACCTTTCCAGTTTCGCTTACAATACGACTGCTGGTCCAAGTGCACAGTGTATTGGGTCTGAGGAACAAGCTGAAATGTCGAGTTTGACCGAGGAGGATGGTGACATGGCGTTTGAGGACACATCCCCCTACAAACTGATGCCTCTAGAACTCCAGAACACAGATGCGGTCAGCATCACCAGACCAGAGGGACCTGTCTTGCTGCAGCAGGTGAAAAACAGAATAGAACAGCTTCAATGCAGCAAGTGTCCGAAATCTTTTGACAATAAATCCCAACTGACGCGTCATCAGAAAATGCACAAGTTACTGAGTGTTGTAAAGACAGCTTCTCATGCTAGTGGATCAGGCAGTAAGGTCATGGCCAAGAAACCTGTTCTTAGTCAAGGGGCTGGAACGGCCAGGAAAACCATGAGAAAACAATCGCCGTTTGTTAAAGTGAGTACCCCAGATTTGCCCGACTCTGAAGAATTCAGTGAAGAGAATACCCTTAAATCATCTCTTGAGCTGTCATCCCTGAATCCCTCAAGTAATAGTTCTTCATCACAGTCTGGTGATCACAGTATCCAGATTGATGCCTCTCTTCCTGAGACCTTTCTCCAGGAGTCTGTGATGACAGGAGTGGACGACTCTTGTTCTGATCCTGCTGGAAGCAGAGCACACTCTCCTTCTGGGGAATCACAGGAGATGCTGGAGATGGGTGATGATACAACCAGGATAACCAAGGTCGAGGATCAGAGTGGGAGTTCGACAGATGTGTCTTCCATGAAAGAGGATCCGGTAGCTAGAGAACAAAGTGCACAGTCCACAGAGAATCCTGATGCCTCGGTAACCAAGGACACACCCCAGTCGTCCAATACAAGAGACCCTCCTGGAGGAATTATTCTTGATGGTTGTGAATGTAAAATTTGTGGAAGGGTTTTGTCACGAGAGTCCTATCTGATAATACATATGCGATCCCATTCTGGGGAGAAGCCTTTTGTTTGTCAGTTCTGTGGAAGGGGATTCACTGTTTCTCAAAACTTGTACAAACATGTTCGGACACACACTGGGGAGAAGAATCATGCATGTCCGACATGTGGTCGCAGGTTCACCACCAGCAGTTCCCGGAATCGACACATGCTGCGTCATAGTGGCGACAAGCCTTACCCTTGCACTCTCTGTGACGAGGGTTTCTCTTACTTGGAGCAGCTGAAGTCACACTGTCAGAAAAACCATGCTTATTTTGATACATCCTTGCTGAAAAAGGTGGAAATTGATACTTATGAATTATCGAAAGGGAAAAAGAAAAAGAAATCGAAAAAGAAGTCAAAGAAACTTATTGTAGCACCAGGTGGAGTGGGCAGTCTAGTGGATGGCAAGCTTATATTTCCCTATGATAACCCCTCACAAGCTGGTAATCAAGGTGTGATAACAACTAACCAGGCAGCAGAACACATGCCGACAGACAGCAGTGGTATGCTGGACCCAAGCCTAGAAATATCCAGGCAACTCAGCAACATTCAGGAAGAGGATCATGCTCAGCTCGGAGACAGCACTGACCCCCACTTTGCTTCATCGGATCCGGGACAGACAGACGATGGATGTTCTTCGGGAGTGCGGTTTATGTGCTCCTTTTGTGGAAGCGAGTTCCAGAGTGAGCACTATCTCCAGCATCACATGACTATACACAAAAATGAACGTTGCTATGAATGTCCATTCTGTCACCAGGGTTTCGCTATGCAGGCTCACCTGCAGGCTCACCTCCGGAACCACGCTGACGCCAAGAAGTACAGCTGTGGCATTTGTGGTAAGGGCTTCAGTGTCAGGTCCAAGCTGGAGCGACACATGCTGGTGCACACTGGGGACAAGCCCAATCAGTGCCAGCTGTGCCAGGAGAGCTTCAAGTATAAGCATATCTTGAAACTTCATTATAGGAAGATGCATCCAAGTTTTGCATCTTCAGAACTTGCAAAGAAGAGAGGGAGGCCAACTAAAATGGACAGTTCAGAGGGCAATGATGTAAATGCAGAATCAGATGGTGTGTTTCGTTCCACTGATCTAGAAGATGGGGAGGTTGTGCTTGGGATGGCTGTTGACAGTGGAAGATCAGTGTCCAGATCTGCTGTGAATAATCCCAATGATATATCAGTGCTGAAATCCAATGGATTACAAGGGAGAAAAACTATACTGAGACTTCTAACAGGTGGTGATGTAAGTCAAGGCTTGAGTAGAAGCAGCAAGAATGAAACATCGATGAGAACTCATCCTGAAATATATAATATAAAGAAACCTGGTCCATCAAACTCTGAAGAAATGTCACAAAACATTCAGGGTGGTGGTATGTCTGAGATTGATTCAAATGTTCCAGAACATTATAAAGGAGAGATGAGTTCAGGCAGTCACACTGTGTGTTCCTTTAACTGTGTCCATTGTCCTTTAATCTTCCAACACAAGAAGGATCTAACTGAACATCTTCTGACACATTCTGAAAGGCAGATCGATTACAGCAAACAGTATGGGGTATTTGAAAGTGATCCAATCAAAGACATGGAGGAATGTGATTCAGTAGGGCAAGCATGGACCATCACCTCTGGTGTCCAACCAAACGTCTGTGATGTGTGTGGGGCCATGTTCTCTGAAAGCAGAAAGTATCAACAGCATATGGCTGATCATTTAGAATCAGACAAAGCTAGTGTTGAAACCAGTTCTCAAAGAGACAAGTTGAGGCCGCATTGCGAAACCTCATTTCAAGTTGTTGAAAATAGCCAGTCATTCAGTAGCAAAACTACCTCAAAAGTGAAAAGGAAAAGTGCAGCCAAATCTGCTCTGCTTCCTTTGAATAATTCTACCTCTGAAGAAGTGTGTTCGATATGCGGTGATGTGTTCTCAACTGCCGAACTTTTAGAGCACCATCTCAAAGGCCACAGTGATCCTGTACAAGATTCCAATAAGAACCGGGTTGAGGAGAGGAGCAGTGCATCGACACACACCGACGACGCTTCATCTTTTGTTCAGAGTCATCAAAAGCAGCTGATGAAGAGTCCAGTAATTAAGAAAGAACCAGAGGAGTGTCTTCCAGAACAAACCCCTCTGAGTGAGTGTCATGATGTAGCCAGACATGATGGTTACCACGGTGAGGGTTTCATTGAAGAGAGTCATCAGGTGGAATGCCGACACTGCCTTGCCATGTTTAATTCCTTCAAGGCTCTACATGATCACATGAAAGTTCATGAAGGACAGTCAGTGTTCAATTGTCCCCTCTGTAGCTCCGTGTTCCACAAGCAGGACCAGCTTCTGGAACATCTGAAAGAACACACAGGAGCTTGAGAGCTAGAATCTGAAGCTTCTCAAGGGACAGGCTGTGGACAAGCTTCTGGAACATCTGTGAAGAAACACACAGGAGCTTGAGAGCTAGAATCTGAAGCTGCTCAAGTGACAGGCTGTGGACAGGCTTCTGGAACATCTGTGAAGAAACACACAGGAGCTTGAGAGCTAGAATCTGAAGCTTCTCAACGGACAAGTTGTGGACAGGCTTCTGGAACATCTGAAGGAACACAGGGGCTTGGGAGCTAGACTCTGAATCTTCTCAAGGGACAAGCTCAGGCTTAAGAATTGGAGAATACTGAAGTAACTGGTCAACAGCAAACAAAGGTCTGAAAGTTAGGCTATGAAGCCATGTTGAATGGTCTCATTTAACAAGCTTGGACTAAAACTGAAGTATTGGTACTCGTAGTCTGGTCAAGGAACATGCAGTGTTCCTAGTATTATATTTCTTCAAGGAACATACATGGGAATCTTATACTGGGTACACAGATGGAAATGTCATCAAGGAACTTACTTAGACCTAAGATGTGTGCTGGGGAAGTGTCTCAAGGAACAAACTGAGACCCAAGTTATTCTCTGTGGTCCATTTTGAGTATTTAAAAATAATGGGTATGAAAGTTAGAATGTGTTGTGCTAAATGAGCTTTTCAAAATACATATTGGGGCCAGATACTTACTCTGTGAATTTGTCGTGTCATTGTGCTGGATCATATATGGGAACATATTAAGAAACATAGTCGGTTCTGTAGTTCTTAGAAGTTCAGTTGGAATATAATTACGTTAAATACGGTCAACAGATGTTTGCAGTGTCGTGCTGTTTGGCCATGTGGATGTCGAGATGGGGCTCATGGAGGATTTGCCTGAATCTTACACCATACATAAGACAACCATTTTTAATATTTTAATTCAATCAGAACTATTTGTGGAGCTTATCATTTTTACCAGATTGAGTTGTTGTTAAGGGTGTCCTAATTAAAATGTTATGGTCACAGATGTGATCAAATAGTTGTAACTGCTGCTTAACTGAGATACAGGTTAGGGCTGCAACGATTCACCCAGACCTCGATTTGATTCGGTTTTCGATATTGAACCCTTGATTCGATCATTTTCGATTCGATTCTTCATACAAGTGAAAACATCAGATTTCATTTAACTATCAGAGTTCAAGTGAGTCGGCTTTTTTGGCTTGAAACCCATCATCAACTTGGCGATGTCTCCTAAGAACAATTCTCAACAATAACTAGCCCGGCGTCAACCAATCACGTTTAGCATTATTTCAGCACTCGAAACTGCTCGAAGTTGGTGTCAAACTTATGTTCTCTTCGTGTGGAAATAATATTAATAGCAGCGTTCAGAATTCCCGCCTGCCCGACCTTCCGGAACGGTCTGTTTTCATCTCGGACGGTCAAATTTCAAAAGTAGCCTGTCCGGTGGTCTGGTAGATGTTTTACCCATAACAATAAATATTTCATAATATCAGACAGGTTCTCTTGTCGTCAGTTTGAGGTGTTTAAGGTATTATGATAATTACGATAAACTATTTACGATTGGACAGTTCATTTTACAATAACCAATCACAACACATGTACCTTCAGTTTACCTAAACTCGGTACATTGCCTGTTAGTGCTATGTTGTTCATTGCGATGCCTACAAACAGTAAAGTATTCAGAAACCCGATTTTTTTTGCATTGTTGAAAACCGGACAGGCAAGTTTGTATCCGGACTGGTATTTTTTTTAAAGTCACCAGTCCGGCTGTCTGGCTTGGAATTTTGGGAGTTTTAAACACTGTTATTGGTATTCGAATATTGAATTGAAATAGTGATAATGGTTATCGAAAATCAAAACTTAGGTGTCGAACCGAATCGTTGCACCCCTAGTTAGCATCACTACAGTAATGTGCACTGTTCCTCAGTGAAATCTCAACCTCCGTCAGTTGAACTGTTTTTAAAAAATTACATTGTGTAAAATGCCCTGGCAGCATAAGTATAATTTTGTTGGTACACATTAAAGAGACAAATACTATTCTCCATGAATTTTCTTTCACTACACCTTTTTCTTCGAATATTTTCTGACTTGACACTTGGATTATATTGTATTATAATTAATGAGATGGGGGCCATCCTTTCCCCTGTACAGTCTCCTTCATCTGTCCTGTCATGTCTTGTGTATTGTCATCTGTCTTGTGTTTTGTATAACCACAAAGGAAGTGTTGAAGGCAGTTTTGCTGTTCTCATGTCCTGTGGTGAGATGGTGGTTTTATTTTTAACCCGGTTGTAAATGAGGCATTTTCAGGTAGAACTTTTATAATGAGCAAGGATTGGAAGGTTTATTATTGTACTGTGTAACATGTTGGGATCCCAAGGAAAAGCTGACCTGTGCTTAATCTGGACGCTGTTAGTGTGGTCACTGTGCTTAGTGAAGACACTCTCTCTCAGGACACTGTCATTGTGCTTAGTTTTGACATATTCTATGTGCTTAGTCACGACACTCTCCCTCAGTCACGACACTGTCACTGGGCTTAGTTACGGCACTGTCACTGTGCTTAGTCTTGACACTGTCTTTCAGCCCAGTGGCTAAAGCGTTGGCTCATCACGCTGAAGGCCCGGGTTCGATTCCCCACATGGGTACAATGTGTGAAGCCCATTTCTGGTGTCCCCAGCCGCGATATTGCTGGAGTATTGCTAAAAGCGGTGCAAAAGCCAACTCGCTCACTCTCATGAAACAGGTCCACACAAACCATGTATCTATTCTGTCTGACATCTAGTTGCTCTTCTTGTGTATGACTTGTTGTAGTCCTAGCTGATGCTTGTATCTAACACTGATTCAGGACAACCATAGCTCCACCTCTGTGTGCTAGTGATTCACATAGTTCCTGTCAGGGGATTGTATCTAACACTGATTCAGGACAACCATAGCTCCACCTCTGTGTGCAAGTGATTCACATAGTTCCTGTCAGGGGAGAATCAATACACTGGTTACGATTAATATGTTTTTGTGTCGATACATAGTGATTGTCTTGGAAACATACTTCTTGTTAATGAAAGTCCCATCTCGTGTTTAATCAGACAGATATCGCAGAACAGTTCCCGATTTAGTGCTTTGTTACTTGTACTGGTGCTACCCAATATTACACAGTGCAACCTAGTTATTAGTCTAACTTGCACCAGGTGCAGGCAAGTTTCGAGAAATAAATCAACAATAAATCTAACATTATAAGCATAAATATGTCAGCTCATATTTCTTCTAAACTTTGAATAGGAATGGCACCAAAACATTGGTATTTATAGACACCTCTTGGCTATGACAGCTCCAGTAAACTGGAACCAGCTGTGTCTCTGCGTTGCTATGGTTTCATGGGTACAACATCACGGAAATATGTTTGTGTTCACCGAAACCTCTGACGTTTTAACACACTATGTTACAACTGGAATTTGGCTGGTTCTACTAGGTATCGTATCGTATCGTGACATGACCTTTGTGCTGTGATAGGTCTCGTATCATGACCTAGGTACTGTGATAAGTATCGTATCATGACCTAAGTACTGTGAAATGTACATCGTGACCTTGCTGTATTGGTTCACCTCTGGTTCCTATAGTTGAGGGGCGGTGGGGTAGCCTAGTAGTTAAAGCGTTGGCTCGTCACGCCGAAGGCCCGGGTTCGATTCCCCACATGGGCACAATGTGTTAAGCCCATTTCTGGTGTCCCCCGGCGTGATATTGCTGGAATATTGCTAGAAGCGGCGTAAAACTAAACTCAGTCAGTCAGTCCTATAGTTGAACATATTCACTGTAAAGTACCCAGCATAGACTGTAGGTAGACACCCATGCCCTGACATACACTAGCTCCAACACTGTAACCAAGTGTTAGCTCTTCCTGTACATAATCATAGACTAGTAACCCCAAGAGTCGACACTGTCAAGATGCATCGGACAGCATCAGTGATCAGGGTACGCCGCCTTTCAGTTGGTTTGGGGTCTTTATAAGTTGAGGGGGGACTTTGGTAATAAGTCTAGGGGACAGATGGGGAAGGGTAAGGAACCATCAATATTTTGAGTCATTTTTGAAAAAAATTAAAAAATAAAAATAACCCCCAAAACACCTTTATCTGGTGCTTCCAGCAGATGATAGCATTAAAGATGGTGAAATCTTTTTCTGCCTAATACCTTATGCATACAGATAATATCCATAAAAACATTCCATGATCCAGTTACAAAAAGCTGGAAGAAAAATAATCTTTCCCTTCTCCAACTTCTATCTTTGACACAAATGATTCAGTGATCCACGATGTGAAATATAACTTACTTTGTGAAAACTAAAGTTTAAATGAACAGCTCTCTCCTTGAATTCCGACGGCAAAATGTCTTGTAGGGGCTCTTTTGGAGTTGACTGAAATCAAACGGTCTTAAGTGATTGGAAACTTAACGATAAAGGCAAGACTTTATGGATGTCAACTTCGTTATTTTGAGGGACACAACATTTTGGAGTATATCCTTACTTCTTCATCAGGTAAGTGACAGACTAGTAAACAGACAGCTATGTATGTACATGTGAAACTACAACAGCGGACAGACAACAAGGGAAGCCAGTAGTTAATTAGCACTAAAGTGGTAAGGTGGTAGAAGCCAGGGGTTGTAAATCCAGGCATGAATGATGAGATAAAAATGGTGGCATTTAACAACAGAAAACAAAATACAAATGGAAGCCTAATTAGTGATATGTGCAAGGACAATGAAGCCAGCAGTGATAATTAAGTTAACATGTCCCATGGGAAAGGTAGATACGTTTCCTGGTCACGGTTGATTGTCGGTTGGGATCTCCTGATGTGTATGGCCTCTTGTAGTTTCCTTGTTAATGAAGTTGACATCCATAAGTTCGTGCCTTCATGTGTATCCCCCCTAAATGCGTTCAAAGACTCTAAACATTATGATATTGTTGAAATCTGAACAAAGACTGGCAGTGAGCATTACCTCCTATCATTCACTTTAAAGTAGCGGTGGAGCGGTTAAAGCGTTCGCTCGTCACACCAAAGACCCGGGTTCAGTTCCCCACATGGGTTCAATGTGTGAAGCCCATTTCTGTTTGTCCCCGCCATGATATTGCTGGAATAAAACCGGCAAAAAAGCGGCATAAAACCAACACTCATTCACTCAGTTTAGAGTCGTAAGAAAACGAAGAACACAGATGCTAGGATGATGAAAAGGGTGGAAGTTGTGGAGGAAAACTTTTTGTAAACATTGTATGGGGTTAGACTTCATCGTTTTGCTTTTCTTTATGTAAATATGCTAGAAAACCAAGGATTTTACTCTTGGTTTAAGCAGGTGGCTGACATAGAATATGTCAGCTTTGGGACCATTAAAACAATTGACATGTTGCCTAAACTAAGTTTCACACATTTGTGACCATGTTTTAATGAATGATACACATTTTACTCATATAAATTTGCTCAGAAATATTCAATATATATTCAGATTGGCTTTTGTAACTTGATGCCATACAGCTGTCAGTCTCTGTAATACTTCAGTGAATTACGTTATTACTTTTTTCTTGTTTTCTTTTGTTTAAGGGTCTCTGTAATGTATGTTCTTATTTATGGTACGATACACACGGAATGGAGGATACTGATGTAAATGGTTATCTATTGTTGTCTTGGGCTCTTTATTGAGAGTT